TCCCTCCGCTTGCTCGTGCGTTCTCGTGCCCCTCACCGGAACAAAGGAGAGGCGGGGCTGGGCCTTTGTCTATATGCGCTTACCGGGAGAAACCTTAATTAACCAAAAACCAATATCAATTAACACAAAGCGTCTCCGTCCGGCTTCTCTAAGCCGATGGATATCTCCCCAGAAAAACCATTAAGGTTCGATTTTCTTTTCTTTTTTTTGCTTTTTCGCTTGGTGGTGTTGTCTTTTTTCTTAGACGAGCAAACGTCTGTGCTAAGGGTTATTATGTCAAGCCGCAAGGCAAAGGTTTCTCTCTCTCCAGCAAAAAAACAGAACCCGCCTTACCAAGTGGCAGGCAAGCAGGTCGAGGCGGGCTGTAAAACGACGAAGAAAAAAACCGACGAGATTTGAAGAGATTTCATGGGTTTTGGGAGACTTTTTCAGTTTATGCGCTTACAAGGGCCAAGCTCGGTTAATGGGAAAAAGTAGGTCTTTTCGGATGGAAGTCTTCTTTTTGTGTAGAGTTTGAAATCTTGAACAATTAAATTCATTTAGACAATCATAATGGGTGCCATTCTTGTTTGTTTGGAAGCTTCCACGCGTTGAACAAAGGGCACTTGTTCGTTTAGGGAAGGTTATGGCGAGGAAGACACAATTTTGAAGAAATCAATGGGTAAACAACCTCTTTAAAAGCTGATTTCACGTCTTTTATGTTTCTCACGGCGCCCAGTTCACTGGAAATACCGAATCTCCCGTTTTCCGCCTCTTTGTGGCACTTTTTGCACCGTTTTTGTACCATTTTACGTCCTTCTCACTCTCTATATTCCCAAACCTCCCAAACTCGCTCTCTAAACCTCCCCAAACTCTCCCCATCCCTTGATTTCTCTCCCCTGTCTCTCCTCGTAACCATATCTTCTCCTCCTCTGCCCCAAATAAGCTTTAAAGACGCATGCGGCTCATAATCCAAAGCAGGCTGTGACAAATTACATAATTAGTCAAGAAAACAAGCTGGAAAAGCACCAAATACGAACTTGCCGTGGTGGGGCCAGGTCCCAGGGTCCTCCCAGGCCGAAAAAGTGCCGGTTCTCCGGGACTTCTTATGGGGTTTTATGAAAAAAAGGGTATTTCCAGAAAAAGACATATCCAAAGGGTCCACATGTAATTGGAAACAACGGGAAAGCCAACAAAATGGGGTGATTTATGTGAATTACGAGTCTCTAGTTGTTTTGGGCAGTTTTTAGGCGTTTTTTTCTGCATTTCCAGAGGCTCCATTTACCCATATTCTCTAAAACCACTTTAAATCACTTAACCATAATCAAAAACCACCAGAAGTGCCCAAAAACGTACATAAACTTTCCTTCCCTCTTCTACTAAGCCTGGCCATTGATATTCCACAAAAAAATCCCCTTCTTCCCGCCCTTTCCAGGCCAAAAACTGACCATTTTCTTCATTTCCCAAATCAACCAATAACCATCCAAAAACCATCCAAAAAACACAAAAAAAACGCCCAAAACCCACCCAAATCTACCAAATCCACGTCTTGTCTAAAAATCCACTTCTTCTCTGTCCATCCTTCCCTCGTCTAAGCCCCCTTGTGTATCTTCCTTCTGTATATCTCAAATCACCCATTTTCCACCAGAAACCCCTCCAAAACCTGCCCAAAAACCTTCACCAACCCTTCTAAACCATCGTAAACCCTGTAAATCGTGCCAATCCACGCAAATCACTTACTTTTTAACCCAAAAAAATAGATCTTTCATGCTTCTTTAGACCTTCGTTTAAAAGCCTCTTTTTGGCCCTCCAGCATGTGAAGAGACCCCAAAGAAGTCAGAAAAAAAACGTCAGAAAACAACCAAAAACAAGCAGAATCTATAGATCTTCATCTAAAGATCCTCTCTAGTGGTTTTCGTCGCCGCTGCTCGTCTTTGGCTTCGCCAGCGACTCGTCAGCGACTTTTCAGTTTAAGAATCCCTACATTGAACCCTTTGAACCCTGAAGACGCCAGCGGGCCAAATTTCGCCAGCCTCTGGCAGCGGGCAACGTGGAATACGCCGTTTTGCATTGAATTTGGTGAAAATACTGGAGGTTTCTGGTCCAGGCAGACTTTGGAAAGTAATCTTCATTTGCAGTGAATGAATGCACCTTCCCGTCAGGCTTAGCAGGAACAAACGAATCATGTCTGTAAAGGGAGAGAGAGAAATAAAGAGAGTTTAAAGAGACTTTTAAGAAAATAGAGAGACTTTTAAGAAAATAGAGAGAGGGTCTCTTACTGCCTCTTTACATCACCAAGTGCTCTCTCTCTAATTACTTAAGTCTCTCTCTAAATCCCAAGATCTCTCTAAAGACTCTCTAAAACCCAAATGTCTCTCTCCCCTCTCTCTCTCCAGCCACGTCAAGTAACTTCCCCTGCCTTATCTTCCCTTTTCTTTTCCTCTCCTCCAGCCACAGCCCAAAAACCCACATCACTGCTTTTTCTGACCACAGAGGCTTAGCAAACCTTAAAAAACATGCATTTTTCTTCTTTTTCTTCATTTCCTTCTCTTGCTGCCTCCGCTTCGGTCAAACTTCACCGCCTCCTCTTTTCTTTTTCCTCCAGCCACCTTCCGTTCTTCCAGAAACTTAAACTGAATAAAGTGACCATCTCAAGTTGCTCTCTCCTCTCTCTCTCCTCTTTGCTTTCTCTTTAAATTACTTCGTCTTTACGTCGTTCCTAAACGGAACGACTACGGAACGACGTCTGACGACGACGTCACCCAACCCACATGAGACATACATATCTTGAAGCACCCAGGGTGATGAAAAATCCAATGTTTCACCTTCTTCATTGTCTTTCTCTCAAAATATCATCATTTTATTGTTTTTTTTCAATCTGCACTTTTCGTCGGTCAGTGCATTCACTTTTACGTTTTCAAAGCACATCTGGTGAAGTCGAGAAAGAGACAGGTAAAAAACGGAAGCACAGACGGTGACGTTGGGAGTTGGAGAGTTTACTTTTTACGAAACGTTGGTTGCTTCACTTGCATCCGGTGGGCCGGTTGCAGTCGTTGGTTGTAGTTTTGATGGTTGAAGCTCCATGTTGAAGCTCCATGTTGCAGTTTGATTGGTGGTCTTTTCTCCGGTGTTTAGGAGTTACGGTGTTAACTCCGGACTGTTCAGCGTGGCATTTTGCGTTTTGGGGAATTCTAGACGGATTTAACGTGGAGTGGTGGCTGGTGGTGATGGATTTGATGAAATGAAGGAAGTGAGGTCTGGAAGTAGCTGGTACAGAATGGGTTTTATGGATTGAAGAATGGAATTAAGATAAAACTGGGTTGAATGAAAAGAAGGAGACCTTTTTTTGGGACTTTTTTAGGTGTTTTGGGTATTTGATGGACATTTACTGAGACATGTTGTCTCTGAAAGTGGATCTTTGGAATCGCCAGGAAAAGGCATTAAAAGGCAGCTTTTCAGGACTTTTTCAGGCTATTTTTTCCATTAATTTCATCTATTAATCCCTTGTTTTCCAAAATCAGCATTTCTTCCTTCACTCTTGGTCTCCTTGTGCTTCCCGTGAACCTCCAGCCTGAACACATCCCCAAAACTGCACCATTTGCACAAATTTCATTAAATCGGCACTCTGAACTCTCCCAGGCGCCTGGTATTCATCCAATGGCACTTTTTTCCTTCCGTATAGTAAGAAAATACGACTAGAAGAGATGTGAAATTCACTATTAATCTGACCAAGCCAGGCAATTTGGGACGAATAGGCAGAACAGTCCATCTAAGGCAAACCATCAGCGTCTGAAAGCACTTCAGAAGAATTTCGATCCTCTGAAACAATAATCATTTCTTAAATTTGGAAGAAACTGCCTTTTAACAAAATAAGGCACCCGCTTTACTTATCAATCTCAAATGGTAAAGAGGAGAAGAGGTACTTTCAACTTACCAGAATATCTATTCTACTTCAACCTTCTATAATATCCACTTTAGTCATGAAAACTGAATAACCAGGTATTTAAGCCAGAAAAGTGAAAAGTGAAAAGCGTAATTACCATTCTAGTCCACTGCACTTTCCATAAACATTAGATCCCCATAAACAACTAGTAAACCGAAACAGTAAAAGCGACCTCAAAGTCAGTGTTCTGGAAATCAAGAAATCAAAGTGAAGCCTTATAATCTTTAGAAGTAGAATAATTCATCTTAGTTGAATGTATCAGAAGTGCCTTACTTCCAATACTATGTTAGGTTGCGACGAAAGTTGTTTATAGTGCAAAGACATAAGAAAGAGTTGAATGAAGAGCTGTGAAAAGTAGGGAAACTGGACGAGTATAAATAGTCGTCGAGGACTAGAAGTACGCTGGCTGAGCCCCAAAGGTATAGCAACTGGCTGGGGTCTTCCTACCAGTAAGATAGGGTGGACCTGACATACTAGTAATCGAGTTGATACTCTGGAATCGGAAGTGGTCCTATAGTGAACAAGCAAGGCTGTTGATAAAGTACCCAAGACAAAAACACCTTTTAAATGTATAAGCAATGTCAGTTTCAGTGGCTGCAAAAACCATATAACAAAGAGACCATCTCCCCAGCCATGATCTGGAGAAGGAAGGAGATATTTAATTCAAGCTCTGAGTGTCTTCAAGGGAACATTCTGACCTCGTTAAAGCACTTTAGGTACTCAGAAGGTTCAATTGGATATCCATTTTTGTTGGTACTCCTCAGTACATATCCAAAGACCATAATCCAAAAACAGCTTTCCATAGTCACCTCATAACCTGCTCCTCAACGCCAGCAGACTGGTCATCCAAGGTGTTCTCGTCTTCCTGCTCTTCAGCTTCAGCTGCAACTGTCTTCTTCAAGTTATAATACAAGTAATATCATATAGAAGATCACTTAAAGAAAACAGTACAGGTAATCAGGTATCCACTGACTTTTCTTCACCACCCAATTCTCTCCAACACTTCCTCTACACCTTCTGCAAGACTATATATTATTCTGCGTTCTATATATACATTCCCAGGTTGTTAGTTCGTCATTTACATCATAGGCATTCCCTGTGGCATGCCCTGAGGCATTCCCTGGGGCATTCCTTGTGGCATGCCTCCAGGAGCACCGCCGCCCTGGCCGCCCTTCAACGACGACTTGCCGGCCTTCAAAAGCTCGTCACACAATAAGAGGTTCGACGCTATGCCTGTGGCTGAAGAAATGGCGTTTCTCAACACTCTGTATGAATCCCAAACACCTTCAAGCGCTGGGTCCATGGGCTCGCCAGACGCAAGGTCAATGCCAACCTGGCGGTTCTCGGCGATTTCGTCCTGGCAAGAAGAAATAGCTTCCAACGAGTCCAAACCGGCGTTGGTGCTCAATGTCTTTGGAACAACCAAAAGAGCTTCGGCGAATGCCTGGATCCCTGGCTTGTTGCGGCCTTTCAAGATTCCAGTGTCGTTGGCAAGCAAGTGGTGGTTGCAGCTCATAAAGTAGGCGCCTCCACCTGGAACAATGGACTCGTCCTTGATCACATTGGCCACAGCTCTCAAACCGTCACGAACAGCATCCTTGGTTTGCTGCAACTCGTGTGCAGCCAGGCCCTTGATGAGAATGGTAGCAGACTTAGACTCAGGACACTCAGTGATATACGTAAACTTATCCTCGCCAATGCTCTCTTCATAAACCTTTCCAGCCTGGCCCAAAATCTCTGGCGTCAAGTCGTCCACGCTGTTCTGGGCCTCGCCGCCCACAATCAACTGCAATCTCTCCATGTTTCTTCTCTTAGCACGGCGCAAAGCAAGAATGTTGTTCTTGGCCAACACGTCCAAAGACATTGGATCGATACCCTTCTGGTTGATAATGACAAACCCGTGGTCGCCGTTTAACCCGCAAACCTCGTTCTTCAAGTCCACAATCTTCTTCAACTTGGCGTCCACAAACTGTCTCTCTGAAGCCACCAACTTCTCTCTCTGCTCAGCGGACGAGTAAAAGAACCCAGAGTTCACCTCCGTCTTTTCATACTCCAACGACACGTTCAACGTCAACACAAACGCATTGTTCACCACACGTGGCATATCGGGATGCCTGGCGCCGTGGTCCAAAACAAGACCCTTGACGAAAGTGGTATCTCTAGCGTGGCCATGCTGCATGGTCATAATCTCCACCATGTGCAAATCAAGGTTCTTCTTATCGGCATCGTCGCCCAGCACCGCCAAAACGGAATCCGTCACGATCGGCGCCAACACGTCTGTAATGTCAGAAGTCAATTTCGTAGCCACAGACGATTTGGCCACCTGCAACAAGAACTCCCTATCAAACAGCTCAGGCTGCGTCTTAAAACTGTCCAAGTACTTCAACGACGTCTCCCTGGCAATTTCAAACCCATCCACAAGCACTCGAGGGTGTACTCCCTCTGAAATAAACCTCTCTGCCTGTTTCAACAACTCTCCAACCAACAACACCACCGTAGACGTGCCATCACCCGTAATTTCGTCCTGGGCAGTAGCAGCACGTGCGATCATCACCGCCGTAGGGTGCTGGATCTGCATTTCCGTAAGCAACACTTTGCCATCCTTGGTCAACTTGAGGTTTCCTGAACCGTCCACCAAAAGCTTCAACGTGCCCTTGGGGCCCAAATTGGACGCAAGCACCTGCTGCAAGCCCTGGGCGGCGGCGATGTTCACCTGGAGCGCCTGCTGGCGTCTCAACGACTCTGCTTTTGGGTTGAGTAACTGGATCGAAGAGGACATGGTGTTGGTGATGGACAGTGGAGGTGAAGAATTTTATGTGGTGGTGGTCACGTGAGGCCCAAGGGTTTAGAAGAACCAAAGAAAGGCAGGCATTGACGGGGTGGGTGTTTTGAGGGAAGGGGTGGGTGGATTTTGGTGGTTTGGAGGGCTCTATGGATTTGTTTTTCGTGATTTGGGTGTTTTTTGGTGATTTGGCGGAGGGTTTGGAAGTGCGGTGGACGGTGAGAGAGGAGGGAGAGGGAGGGTGGACTAAGTGGAGGGTGGAGGAAGAAGGGAAGGTAAATGGGGCCTGGGTGGTTTCAGGGGGGCTTAATTGACTGAATTTGTTTGTTTTCTGGAGTCAAAGGTGGAACGGCTGGGAGTTGGCGGTGGCTGGTGGAACGCGTTTGCAGCCAGTGGGTGGGGGGAGGAAAGAGTGGAGGGAGAGGATGAAGGAAGTGGAGAAACTGGTGGTTTATAGGGAATAGAGGAAAAGGCTTACTTTTAATTGTTTGTTTGAATGTTTTTGTTAATGAGTTTTGGGTGTTTTTGGTGGAATGGAGTGGTGATGGAGGGACTGTTCTGGTGGTAAAGTGAGCCAGTGGACCAGTTGTAGGGAAACGTCAGATTTGCTCGAGAGTCGAGGGGGAAGTGATTTTTTATGATTTATTTATGCTCTAATAAGGGTAGATCTTGATGGTTATTGGTCAATTCGTGCTGGTGGTGGAGGTTTCTCTTAGAGGTCTATGAGATGGTGAACTCTTCTGGTGCTTCCATGAATGGTCAAGTAAAACAAGCAAAAGTTGAAAGAGGGCTCTTAAATGTCTTACATTAGCATTGCAGAATATTTCTTATCGTATTATTAGTGTTCTGAGCTACTTTTTATTGGTTAGAACTGGATGACGTTGGACATCTCTGGCGTCCTACTTAGTATGGTCCCTCAGGAAGTACACTTAACGTGAAGACAAGACCTCAATTGCAGACAGTAAAATATTAACGACTTTCTTAATTTCTAGGGCCCACAGAAACCCTTACTACGCTTCCTTTACGTTTTTAGACATCCACTTCAAAAGCTCAAACTCTACCTTCCACTCTCCACACGCATTCCAGCCAAATTGCCAGAACTCAACGAACACCTGGAAAATTGAAAAAGTAAAGCTACCACCGTAACCACAGCACCCAAATTGACCTAAAATCACTATTCTTTCCTTTCCAGCCTCCCTCCTTCCCCCACCCAACTCAGGTTCCTCCACCATCCAGTGGCTGCGAAAGAAGAAGACCTACTTGGTCCAAAAGAACCCCAAAACGGCCCAAAAACCACCAAAAAACAGCCCTTCTCTTCTTCTCCCAAAAAGTATAACTATCCCCTGCAAAAAACAAAAAGAAATGGTCCCTAGCAGGATCGAACTGCTGATCTTGGCGTTATTAGCACCACGCCTTAACCAACTGGGCCAAGGGACCAACTTGATGGGTGGACTATGAAGAGGGTGATGTGTGGTTGGTTTTGGGTAGGAGTGGAAAATATGGGATAAAAAGTAGTTTGATCGATTTTTCTGGTCTATTTTAGTACCCTGGAGAAATTTCAAGGCCGTAGCTCAAAAACTGGATTTTTAAAGCCGTTTTACGTTTTTTCCATGTTTCTGTGGGAAGTTTGTGGATTAGTTGAAGAAGTACGAAAGTGGGATGACTGGGGAAGGCAGTGGATGGTTGTCAGTTGGTTTTTTTGTTAATTGGAGGAAATTTAATTGAAGTAATTGGGGTTTTGTGGTGTAGTGGAAGGGAAAATACACGCTTTAATGGGTGTTGGATGGAACTCATATGGTCCATGGAGAGACAGTATTTGACTGAATTGGAGAAAAGTAAAGGAATAAATACGAAGTGATAGAAAGGAAAGAAACGAAGGAAAAGAAAGGAATTCTGGGACAAGAGAAACCTATTATGTCCTGACTGGCGGTTCTTTTCTGTGGAAGATTGGATGATTAAAGACGGAACACTTAAACAGTTGAAGATTTGCTGAAAAGAAGAAATATTCATAAACTATTGAAAGAGGACGTTAAGGAAAAACAAATGAAATAAGAAGCTTTTTAAGTATTTGTGAAGTCACGAAACGTTCACTGGAGCTTTGACAGGTCAATTTATCGACTTTCATTCATTTAACTGATTTAATTCAGTCTATGTATCACCAAAGTAAGAGCCGTCTTGAAAAGTTTGACTTAAGCACTCCAAGAATCAGCCAGATCTCCAATTCCCTTAAACTGGAGCACTACATTACCCAGAAGAAACTCCATCCACTTTCAACTCTTCTTTCTGAACTTCTTCCACTTCAGCTGTTCAGTTAGAGGAATCTACCACCAGTAACCCAAATACCACTGAGCTTTTTCAGGGGAAACCAAATGGCAGTAGATTTCTTGAAAAGGGCAGAACAGGCCTCCAAGGAATGCTACTTGGCTGATCTACGAAAAAATGGAGTCAATTTGAACTCTTGGAGTGGCTGCAAATGACTTGACAGAACGAGAAGTACTGGAATGGAAAGAAGGTTGAAGTAAAGCAACAGATGTGATTTCCAGATTCCTGGATACAACGTAGGTTAGCTAACGGTACGCCAGCCCAGATCGTAGAGTAAATAACAAATGGAGATGGCCTCCACCTACACTGAGATTGTTGGAATAGTATGATTAAAGGACAAAAAAAACTATATGATGATAGAAACCAAACCTTTAACCAACATTTGGAGTACCCTGATCTTGGGATTTTCTTATGTGTTTGACAAAATTTGTGAGTGGAAAAAAACCCTCCGGTTATGAGCCCTGTATCTCTTGATAGACAGATATTTGTTGTTAAAGTTTTAAACCCTTCGGTTATATTTGTGTGTGAACTGCGCAGTGGCAAGCTATTGATAAAATTTAGCAACCCCTTTCCATGGGAGAAGCTATGGCAAAAGAACGATGTCAGTCCCGGTCAGCCTTACCTCGAGGCACCACCTGAACATCGATGTGTAGACGACTTTCTGAGTCTTCTTTGGTGTAAGACGGCGCCGTACTCTCTAATAGTAACCGGCAACCGCTTGGATTTCGTGTAAGAAATGGGTGAAGCTGCCCAATCTTATGTTAAACTTTGGGGTGTATCCCCGACAAAAACCGCATTTAAGCGTTCCGATACAACTGAATGGATTTGTGGTAACATCCCTCCACCAGCAGGGGGGCCCGATGGCCCCCAAAGAAGGAAAAAAAAGGTGGAAATTCGTCGCGTATTTATATTCCTTGGGGAGGCGTACTGCATACAAGGAAAGGTTAAAGGTACTCCTCAAGATGGGCAGGGGAAGGGGAAGGGAAGGCAAGAGCAGGGCTGCAAACCGCCTGGGGATATATAAATACGATGTTTTTCCCCGTCTTCCCCTTTTTCCATTATTTGGTTTACGAAAAGAATGGGGAACTGGATCGGCGGGGGCTTGGAAAGGGGAGAGTGAGGAGGCACGCCCAGCCAATCAGCTTCCCGCGTGCCAGGCGTGTTTGTGTAATGTAGAGATGGGAGGTTGATGGGAGGTTGAAGGGGAGGTTTGGGGGAAGGGAAGGAGTGAGAAAGAGGAATGATTAGGGTAAGGGGGCAGTTTGGGGTTGGTAAGTGAAGGGTTTGGGAGATGGAATGTGCTTGTAAGGGACTGTTTTTTCTGGTTTTTTTGGGAATAACGAAGGGAACACAAAGGGATGGGTTTATAGAGGGCAAGTAGAACCTCCTGGTTAACTTAGAATCCTTGTGGTTATGGGTTTTGGGGATTTAGAGATGCCAGGTGGTTCTTGAATGGCTGCAAAATACTGCATACAGTGCTGTCAATCAACATAAACCCAGTGGACCCTTACATGAACAAAGGAGAGTCGTTCTATTTCTTTTATAATTGGAGGGAGGGATGTTACGAACGTATTGTAGCTGCAAAAGAATCTAGGCTACTTGGATGTAGATCTGGGGCGCCGTGGACGGTCAAAGAAGCTCAAATGACACAGAAATGGTCGACAAGCTTATACGCCATTTATCTAGATTATACCTTCTTCTTCAGTTCTCCTTGCCTTTTATTTCGTCTTCTTTAGTGAAGTAAATGTCTTAATTGGCAACTCAGAAGGTTATTGTTGATAGAATGAAGCGTCTTCTGGAAGAAAGTATGGAGGGAGACACAGGTGGACTAAATCAAGTACAATAAACCGCAATACCAATGGGGAAGCTGTAAAGTGCTTAAGGAGAATTATTATGACCAGGGTTCTTTTCTCGTGAAGCTTTTGGCACCTCCCATGGCTCTGTCGCCAGTTACAGTTATCCTCAAAAGCTGTCCACCTGCTCAGTTAAAGGACTGTTCATGGAGAGGCGTTTAACGTTTCGTCCTAGAATATAAGATTAAAAGAGAGAAGGTGCTATGAAACCAAGGAATTGGGTGGATTACTGGAGCTGTTGGCATTCTGAATATATACTTATATATGTATATTTATATGGCGTAATGGAAGATGTAGGGAAGGTGTATCTTAGGCTTCTAATACTTCCCTCAATTTACGTTCTCTTATGAGGCAACCTACTAAAAAGTACCACATTTCTTAGGGGGATATTTGACTGGCCACTCTATTCAATAGACTAGTACATTCGTCAAGGAACTGTCACCGATAGAGCACACCATTCCATATCTATCATTTCCAATAGCCCACATCAATTCAACCAAAATGAATAAGTAGAATAGAAGCCCATTAAGCATTAGACAACGAGAAGGACAGACGAAACATGATATCTAGAGACTCGGTATGGCTTACAAGTGGGAAGGTTGAGAATCATTGTTGTTTTAATTTTTTGACAGGTTGAAGTAAACTGTAGGAAGCTCAAAAGACATCAAATTAAACCTTAAATTTTACAAAAACAAATGAAGAGCTAAAAAGAAGGATTAGTTGGATTTTGGGAGTGTCACCATGAATGGTTGGTGATATCCTTATAAATTTGACGCATTTTCGTCATTTTTGGGCCAAAATCGCGGAATTTGGCAATTTCAAAACCACAGAAATAAACCTTAAACTCCATTAAACACTCCTAAATCTTCAAAAACTCCAAAACACCCCGTTTTCCCAAAATACGTTTCTAGTAAATCCAGCATATGTACCTCTTATCCACTGGGCGTGTGGCGTAGTTGGTAGCGCGTTCGCTTAGCATGCGAAAGGTCTCCGGTTCGAATCCGGACTCGTCCATTTTTTTCCATTTTTTTACTATTTCAACCCCCAAACAACCTGTACTCTCCAACCTCTACACCTTCCTCATCCTGTTTATCATATTCTAAACACCTCATCCTATTAAATCCTCTTCACAGGTCCGCCTGGAGAGTCGTCAGCTCTCGCAGTCAACACCTCACATCCATCTTCCGTCACCAACATCATATGCTCAAACTGGGCAGAATACTTACCGTCCTGGGTCGCTGCCGTCCAGCCATCGGGCCACGTCAAGTCTCTATGCGTGCCGAGGCAAAGCATGGGCTCAATGGTGAATACCATACCTGGTTTGGCAATACCAATAGCCTTATTCTTAGCGTAATGAGGGATGTTAGGCTGGCAATGGAACAACTGGTTGATGCCGTGGCCACAGTATGTTCTGACGACGGAGCAGCCGTTCTTGGTGGCGTGGTCTTCGATGACAGAGCCCAATTCTCTGAAAATCAACCCTGGCTTAACCTTAGAAATAGCCAAGTCCAATGCCTCTCTGGTGGTTTCCACAAGCCTCACGATGTCTGGATCACACTTGGCCTTGTCGCCCACATAGTACGTTTCGTTAAGATCCGAGTGGTAGCCATACAAGTATATCGTGATATCCAAATTAAGAATATCTCCATCTTCAAGCTTCCGCTGGTCAGGAATACCATGGCAAATCACCTCGTTCACAGAAGTACACATGGATTTAGGAAAATTGTAGTAGTTAAGCGGCGAAGGGTATGCACCTCTGGCAACACACTCCTTGTGCAAAATGGCGTCAAGTTCATCTGTAGTGACGCCTGGTTTGATATGAGATGCTACTTTGTCGAGCACTTGTCTTGAGATCTTGCCCACTTTGCGCATCTTGTTGATCTCGTGCTCCTGCAAGATGGTGATCTTGCCTGTTCTGTCGTTTTTCATTTCACTGATTGGTTTCCCATGCTGAGCGTAGTCTGGCTTCTTCATGTCTTTAAGGACACTTTTGCGAGGCGACAACGGGTAAGCGGCTCTCAAGGGGCCCGAGTAGTTGAAATTAGGGAACGGATCAAACGGCTGGCCGTCTTCCGCTGGGTGGACGGCTTTATGGACGGCCCAGCCGGCTCTGAAACATGACTGGTTGCAAAAAACCGACTCAATATGGTCTTTGAGACAAACTGGGCATTTGAGCTGCGACAGGGTTTCGTTTCCGCACGTGGGAGCTGCACAAACTGCCATACTGAAGGTTTTGGAAGGTTTTTTGGAGAGTTCCAGAAAGGTCTGGGGAAGGTCTGGTGGAAAAAATGCTCATCTCGTGAGGATGTTGGTGATGGTGCACGGGTGTAAGGAAAGATGGACCTCCCAACAACATCAATATCCATGAAAAAGAGAAATTGGGTGGATGAAAGGATGTGGAAAAAGTAGTTGAAGGAGCTGGTAACTTCTTGTGAAATTTCTGTCCGTTTTCGACAAGTTGTGGCGCCATACTCCTCACTTTTGCACCCACCGCACTCGGACAAGGCCATGGAGGGCCAGAAACGTCCAGAAAAAAGGCTCTTTTTGGTGTTGATGGTGGAATTTTGGCTAGGAACGGCCCTCCGATCTTCCGGGGTGTCTTCCATTGCAAGATCTTTTTGGAAATACCCGGACCACTGGTTTTGTGTTACTTTCCCCAGAAGTTCGAGACCTATCCGCACACGATGAGGTGGTGAGTGGATTCTCGAGATTTCGGGAGGGAAGTTGGGGTTGTGAGAGGTGGGAACGGTGCTAGGGAACGCCATGGGTTGCTCTTTCGGTGAAAAAGCAAATCATTCGTTGAATCTTGGAATATGGAGTATCCAATGGACCAGTAGCATAACCAGTGATTCTCCAGAAGTTCCATCGTCAATTGCCCAAAAACAGCGTTCAGGTAACCACAAGCCAAGCAAAATCACCAAAACATCACTTCAATTGCTCCATTAACACCTCCATCTTCTTCAATCACCTCACATCCCACCAACCTGCCTTTAAATCTCTTCTCTTCACTTAACCACTAAATCACCTCTCTCCTCTTCACCTCTCTCCACCTCTCTCCCCCTCCTCTGCCCCACCTACTGCAACTGCTCAGGGCCAAAGCTCATTGGAAGTAGCTCTTCTAGCGTACGACACACCATCTCATCAGTCTGGCCAGAAAACATCAAAATAGGCACTTTCGGCGCAAATTCTCGAATAAACTGCCTGCAAATCCCACACGGACTTATCGGTTCCTTCAGATCTCCCAGAATGGCAATCGCCTGGAACTCCCTTTGTCCTTCCATGACACATCTGGTGATGGCAGTTCGTTCAGCACAGATTCCAGCGCCATACGAAGCGTTTTCGACGTTTGCACCGGTTATTACGGTCCCTTTTTCGGTAAGTATAGCACAACCAACGCTAAAGTTAGTATATTTTGGGAAATTGGAAAGGGTTTTGGGTGGTTTGGACGTACCGAAACTTGGAGTATGGGGAGTATGAAAATTCACGTGCTGCTGTTAGTTTGGGGCTTCAGGGAGGGGTCTAGGAAAGACATACCGTCGAGACACAGCGTTTTGAGGGTCTGGATCTGCTGGGAAGTGAGATTATGGACGTTCATGTTGTGGTACTGATAAGAGTTGGAAACGGGCCGGTGTTGATGTTGGTCTGTTTGGTCACGTGACATGTCACGTGACCAGTTTTTGGCAGAATATTTCAAACGTCACCAACGGACCCCCTGGGTGGTGGGCACGGTTTAAGAGTATGTAGAGTGGCAGCGGGTGGTTTTCTAAGCGTCTACTGGTGTAATTGAGGTGTAAGGAGCTCGTTTGACCCATTTAGCATACCCATAAAAGGCACCCAAATACACCAAACCCAGCCACAAACAGACCCTCCAGCCTTTCCCTTCAATTACATTGCTCCTGTTTTATCTCCCTCCTTCACCTCCTTTCTTGACCTTCCCCTTCCCCTTCCCCCAGACCTTCAAATGGCCAATTCCAAATATAACTCAACCAGACGCACCCCACACGGACCCAGCCACCGGCCCAGGAACAACCGCTGCATTCCAGATCCTTTCCCTTGCTACGCCATAGTGGATTCCCCACATTTCGGAATTCATAAGTAGCAACCGTGGAGGTGGTTTTGGTGAACGAGGCTGAGGCTGCTAGCGAGGTGGCTTTTTCTCGGCAACAAGGCAGGGAATTGGGATGTTTTTGGTACCAATCGACGCAGATTTTAATGGAGAAGAAGATGAAAGTCTTCAATTTGTATTATAATGGCTCAAGTTTCCGGGATTGGGGAAAATGGGGGATGGTTTTTTGCAACATTGAACATTCAACCTGCATATAACACCCCGCGATATCTTACTCTTTTTTTTTTTCACTCTTTATCTAATACACATTCTGTTACTCCCATACATTCACAAAAAAAACAAAGAAGGTACATCCTCGAGGCTTATATGCAGGAAAGAAGCTTTTTAGTCTGATTTGACAGGTTTTGCCGAAGGAGTTAACTGGAGAAAGGGGTCAATTTTTGATTTAAAATATGGTCGTGCGAGGCTCAAAGGGACCCTAACTGCCAAAATCACCTCTTTTTCTTCCTGGGTGACCTGAAAAACAGGTGGTGTTCCACCATCAGGTGATTGTGTCATGTTGCTTTTCAGGCGATTTGAAGCACTGAGATTTGGGCTTAAATGGGTGAGGGATGATGGGGAGTGCATATAAGTACCGGTTTGTGTCTTATGTACAGGAGAGGGGGCGGAAACCGAGGAAAAACCTGGTCCAAAAAAGTGGGAATTGGCCGGTTTTTATAGTTGGAAGCGGGGTAATTCGGCAGGGGGCGGGGTACTTTTATACCCCATATACATAATAAAAAATTTTTGGGAAAAAAACTGGTGGTTTCGTGGTGGCCTGAGGGTGTATAAGACGTGGAAGCGCATATTTGACGTGTAGCGCAACGGCTGCACATGAAAGAGGCAAATGTGAAGGAACCACAACGGCGAGAGCAAAAATGTCGTTTCCCTCGCGGGAAGATCAGACGACAATGAAGGCATTTGGTGAGGTATTGAGTGGGTAGGGTGATGTAGTTGGAGATTTTGAGTCGATTGGTGTTTTTTTCGTGTTTCTAGGGCTTTTGTAGGGCCAGGTAGAGGAGAAATAAGGATCGCGACATTTTTTCATTCAAAAATGTCGTCGCTTGGTCAGCAGAAAGGGTCCATTTATTTTACGTTTTTTGACAGAAAAATGAGGGTTTCTCAGTACTAGCATGTAGATTGGAATCCTCTGATTCCAATGGTACAAATGGCACCCCCAAATTCCACTTCTACCCCCAAATACCCCCAAAAAACGTAAATCACACCAAATCCCCTAGAACACCCACAAGCGACCCCCAATTCGCCAATCCAACCCTCCAGCCCTCCTCTCCACCACCCCCTCCACCTCCCAGAGCCCTCCCTTACCTCTCCAGACGTCTCCAACCACCCAGAAGCACCCCGTCTGGTAACGATCTCACGTGTTCCTGCACATACCCACACCATCCAGTCTTCTCCCGACCCGGTCCATGACATCACAAATCCTCCAAACCCTCTTCTTCCCTAACCTCCCCCCGAACCTTCCCATGGAGCTCGTGTTTCTTCGCCATGCTACACGTGCAGACCACGCCACGCTAAATAACCCGCCGCTCTACCACGACTACAAACCGTACGACCCTTCAGTGTCTGTTTCGGCAGTAGGAGAAGCGTCCCGAGTGGCTCGTGATATCGTGCAAACATGCCAGTTTTCCAAGCCCAAGAGGAACGTGTATGTGCATTTTCTGCCGTACTTGCGGTGCTGCCAGACTGCCGACTTGGTGGTGCTGGCGCTTCAGAAGGAGGTGCCTGAGACGAGACTCAAGTTTCATATGTTGTGTGACTTTGCCTTGCTGGAATGGCTACATGAGAGGATGAAGAATGTGCCGCCGTTTGTGGATCTGGGCGAGGCGTACGACATGTATACGCCGAACGTGAAGATTTTGGAGAATAGGCGGTGTGTGCTGAACTTTAGGCCTACGACGACATTGGGGCCGTGGAATGAGCCTGGGTTGAGCTATAAGGATTATGCTGACCGGTGCAAAACGTACTTTAAGAAGCTTGTGGCGACGTACGATAAGCCGATCCATGTGAACAACGAGGATTTGGTCATTGTGGTGGGCCACGGGTACCTGATCAACCATTTTATGTCATATTTCATTAACCATCCGATCTTTGAGGAGATTCCAGAGAGTACGATCAACTACGCCCGCCGGGAAAACGACGTCTGGACGCTTAAACGGGACTGCTTGCAGCTTTTGCATTGCGAGGATATCGACTCCACGCTTAACCTTGAAAACGATATTGTGGTGTATAAATCGAATTTCGTCAAGAAGAACGAGCTCGACGAGAATAAGCAGTACCCGGCGATCGGGTTTGGCGGGCTCAAAATCCCTAATCCAGATACTCTGGCGCCCCGGCCATCGTTCAGGGTGGAAAACTCCAAGACTAATGCTCCTACACGGCCCAACTTGGCGAAAAACCTTCTTTGCCCTACGGCACGTAACTGGAACGCTCTGGATCTGAATAAATTCCACGTGAAATCAGAATTCAAACTAAAGGTCATGAACGACGAGGCATTCAAGAAAGCATTCGACCTCTCCAACCCACCTACGCATCCCATTTCGCCTGAGGTTTCTCCAAACTCAGAACCCACGCGAACAAACTCTGTCATTGACCTTGTCAAACTCAACTCCAACGACGAAATCCAGCGTCCGTTCAAGCTTCGCTACTCGCTGGCGTCAGATATCCCCGTGCATTTTTAAACTCCAAAGTCAACTCCCATGTCAACCTTGCGCTGTTGCAGCGCAATGCATATTCCCACAACAACTCGCTGTCTGAACAAGGAATGGGCCTTCGGTGCTTTCTGGAGGTTCGCTTTCGCCCAGAGACTACCTGGATATGGATGGCGATGCTGCTCAGCATTCTAACAATATGGGTGAAGTCATCAGCAGGCTTTCACGTATCAGGTCGTTGCAGCGTAAGAGAGCACAGACGCCCAGTTTTGGCAAAATCAAAGAAAACCTGTCGGACGATCTGTCGGACTCCGAATCGAATACCAACAAGTTTTCGCTTTCGTTCAACAACAAGGAAAGAAGAGAACCTGCGCTCAAGCGTGGCATTTCAGGCTCCCCAGTGGTGCCCAACCGAGCCCGTGGCAACTCCGTCAAGCTCATTCCTTCAGTTATTAACCAGAAACTCGATTCGGGCCGTACAGATACCGAAAACGACCACAGCAGCGCCGACGGCAGCATCAACGGAAGTATCAACAGCAGTGCGAATGGCAGCGCCAACGGAAGCGCCAACGGCAGTATCTCAGGCCTCAGAAGCCTGAAGGGCCTCAATGGCAGCTCAAGAGCTCTAGGAACAGGTTTCACAGAATCAAGACCCGCCACGACGGCCATCCCCACGGCCAAACCTGCTAAGCCCAGCCGTTTACAGCGTCCTACGCACCTCAAGAAGACGCCTTCCATGTTCTACAACCTCGACCTGGACTCAGCAGACGGCTCGTCCGAGGGAGAGGACGACGACGACTCTGCTCTGCCACCTAAAGAGAACCATTACACGTGGTTTGGCCAAAACGCCAAGGGGTACGTCTAAAAAGCAAAAAAAAGCAAAAAAGCAAAAACAGAAAAGCATAACAACGTATATAAGCATTATAATTGGATGGGAAGGATAGATAAACTGGCGCCTGGCTGCAAACGTAAACCACCCCTTCTGTGCAGTATTATCACTACTCTAACCAACTAAGTACTACCCTCTTTTCCACCAATGTCCTCACAAGGAGGCTCCCAGGCCATTGTGGCCAACGATTCTGGTCTTCTGCAGCTCCTGTCGACCAACACAGCCACGTTGGCCTTTCCAAGCACCTTCTGATCCCGATTTTCGTGAAAGTACGGTCTCTCGAAACAACCCATCCGTTCAAACCAGCCACCAGCTCAGCCAAGTACAAAAACCCAGACCTCTTCCAGGTTCTCCTGCAAATCCTGGCCAGCTCAGATTTGTTCGTGAAAGTAGAGGTTCTCGACGGCAACAACAACCGGATAGTGCCGCCTGTCCACACTCCATATAAACAGTTCTCTGGGAACAAGAGAGTGTGGGATTCCGTACTAAAACTTCCAATTAACTATAGCCAGGTGGACTACAACGCCTACTTGAGCTTTGAGCTTCTTGAGATTGTCCAGACGAAACCTACACGGTTTGCTGAAGGGAGGTTATCGTTGTTTAACCATGAGAACGGGACGCTTCGAAAGGGTACTTATAAGGTGCCAATTTACACGGGAAGCGGCGGGGAGGTCAATTATAAGGATGAGAATTGCACGACGGCGCTTGAACGGAAGTTGATAAACTACGAAAACGGCGCTTTGAAGAAAGAGCCATGGTTGGATACCATTCTGATGCCGATAGTGGATAAGCTTAAACGGCAGGAAGCCAGTCCAAACGCCGAAGCACCGTACCATTTGTTTGTGGAGCTTCCCAATTTTTCATTGCCCATTGTCTTCCTGGACATCACATATGAGCTTCCTAGTCTTGCCATAGATACACTTCCCCATGCTGATTACCTTGATAAGACGCAGTTGGGCACGGAAAGCGCTGGCGCCATGGTGCTCACGTCGGTGGATTTGGCGCCCAGGAAGCTCTACGATCCAGATTTCGATTTGCTGACGCTCCACAACTTCAACAGTACAGGAGAAGCGTCTGTTCCTGGAAGTGCTGGCGTTCCTGGCCAAACAGGCGTCAGTGTTCGTTCAGCGCCTTTGGACCCGATCGAAAAGAAATTTAACATTTTATCCACCAGCATCAACAACAACTCTTTGCTCGATAAAGAGGTCAAACCGTCACCGCAGGACCGTGACGAGCTCGGCAAGATCTTACGCAAACCGCTGAGCGCTGTTTTGGCAGATAACGAAAAACGCATGTTGTGGAAGTACCGGTACTATTTTTCCAAGAACCTGGGCGACGATACGCAGATCCAGGCTGGGCCTCTGCAGAGCCAGCGGCAGTTTTTGACCAAGTTCTTTAAGTGTTTCAATTGGGAAAACGAGCTGGAGCTTGACCATGCGCTTAAAGAGATTTTACCGTTTTGGAGCGTCGAAAAGATCGATATGGGCGATGCCTTGGAGCTTCTCAGTAACCAGTTTAACCCTTATAACCTTACAGCAGCTCTTCGTCGTCGTCTAGTGGATACTTCAGGTACAGGCAGAGACGTCAACACAGCAGAAGAGCAAAAGATCGATAAGATATTCAAATATGCCATGAAACTTCGTGAGTTTGCCGTGGATCGGTTGAAGTTGGCTTCGGCAGATGAGCTTCTTTTGTACCTTCTTCAGCTTGTACAAGCACTCAAGTATGAGGTTATTGAAGAAGGCCAGACATCTTTGGAAAAAGCGCCATTGGCGAAGTTTCTAATTCAGAGGTCAGTGGAAAACGGCATTTTGGGCAATTTCTTCTACTGGTACGTGAAGGTTGAAAACGAAGACCAGCTTAATGGAGGAGGCAATATCCCCCAGTCAAAAGCTGTCAACGGAGCCATCTACGGTGTGGTTCTAAACACGTATATTGAGAAGCTCAGAGAGTTCTGCCACAAGACGAAGCTGCCCCAGTACAAGTACTTGAAGAGGCAGATAGCGTTCATCAAGAAACTTACTGGTCTTGTGGAGAAGATCAGAACGACATTTAAAAGGAACGAAGCGACTGCTAAGAAAGTGCAGTTCCTTCGGGAGTACTTGGCAGATCCGCTGAATGAAATGCTCAATTTCCCTGACCCGTTCCCGCTTCCTTTAGACCCTTCAGTGATCATTTGTGGTTGTCATCCAGATGAGTCGTCAGTGTTCAAATCTTCACTAGCGCCCTTAAAAATCACCTTCAAAACCATCACCAACTTCAAAGAACGCCTGCTGTCGTCACATTCTTCACAGATCTTTGGTGGTTCAAAGAAACACAAGCACGGGAAGTACCTGCTCATGTTCAAAATCGGCGACGATTTGCGCCAGGACCAGTTGGTAATCCAGATCATCAACCTTATGGACCAGCTCTTGAAGAATGAAAACTTGGACTTGAAACTCACGCCGTATAAGATTTTGGCCACCAGTCCCATTGCTGGGCTTATCCAGTTTGTGCCTAATGAAACCTTGGATGCTGTTTTATCTGCAACTTACGATAACACAACAAGCACAAGTGCTGCTCAGGCAGGCGCCAACACCGCCAACGGCATTCTTCGGTACCTTCAGCTCCACAGCAGAATGCTCCATCACGAAGAGCCAGAATCTCAGAGTGTTCTAGGAAAGAAAAAAAATAGCATTCCTCTGCAAGAACAAGAACATGCTGTTTCAAGTGATCTTGGAGTGTCGCCAATTTTGATGGACAACTACGTCAAGTCGTGTGCTGGTTATTGTGTGATAACGTACCTTCTAGGCGTGGGCGATCGACACTTGGATAACTTGCTTCTTTCGCCAAATGGTAAGTTCTGGCATGCCGATTTTGGGTACATCCTTGGAAGAGACCCTAAACCGTTCCCACCATTGATGAAGCTTCCAATTCAGGTTATTGACGGCATGGGTGGAATGACACATGAAAACTTCAATATCTTCAAAAACTACTGTTTCATCACGTACACGACGCTCAGACGAAACAGCAACTTGATCTTGAACCTCTTCCAGTTGATGTTGAACGCCAATATTCCAGATATCCAGATCGACCCCAAGCGAGTTGTGGAGAAAGTCGAAGAGAAGTTTGCGTTGGAAATGACCGAGGAGCTGGCTATCCTCCATTTCCAGAACCTTATCATCGACAGTGTGAATGCGTTCTTGCCGGTGGTTATCGATGCCCTCCACAGTTTGGCCCAGTACTGGAGAGCTTAACCTTCTTTTTAGTCCTGCTTCTTTGGCGGGCTGCTGCCTTTATACAAATCACGGCACGCACGAACAGCGACGGTAAAGAAAGCAGAGGCAAAGCCAATAGGTGGAATCAAATCAACATAATGCCAAAACACGTTTGGAGAAAGCTCAGACACCACAGACTTGACGTTCTCCTTCAATTGGCCCACGCTGCCGTTGTTATCCAACACAATATCAGCTCTATAGTTTCTCACATCGTTTGAAAGCTGACTTTCTATCCGGTTTCTAGCATCCTCTTCGGTGAGTTCAGGGTTTCTTTCCAAGAGCCGTTTCAACTGCACTTCCTTCTCTGTGAACACTGTGACCGTGGCACCACAAACAGAATGAATACCAGATTCAAACAAAAGCGGCACGTCTAAAATCACCATCTTGTGGCCTCCAGTATAAGCTTTCACGAGCTGCCAGGCCATTTCCTTCTTAACTGCTCCATGGACGATTTTATTCAAAACCTTGAGTTTTTCAGGTTTTCCAAAAACAGCTTTTCCCAAAGCAGGTCTATTAAGCGAGGAATCAGCAGGATTGACCAATCCAGGCACATCTTCCCCAAAAGCAGCCACAACTTGTTCATATGCTTTTCTGCCAGGCTCTACGACCTGACGAGCAATGACGTCAGCGTCGATAATAGGAATTCCATTTTCGGCAAACTCTTTAGAAACAGTCGATTTTCCACTGGCAATGCCACCAGTAAGACCAATAACAAGCATGGTGGGTTTTGGAGTGTTTGAGGAATTCCTTAAATGTGGAGTTGGAAAAGTTGCATGGCCCGAGGTCACGTGATATTTTCAAAAACTCCAATTTCCAACAACACCAGCCATTACCAGGAAATAAAAACCAGATCAGTCGATTCCCATCAGCAGCAGCTTTCCTCTCAAGTAGTCTTAAACGGCCTCCACCCCGGGAAGGCCTTCCTGGTCCCTTCCTGCACCAGACACCCAATGCTCATCCTGAAAAGTACCCTATAAACCACCATCTCCAACCCTAATGTCAGTGAAAATCCTCGGCGCAGGGGCCATGGGGTCTCTTGTAGGTCACGAGTTGGCCAGATCAGGCAGAGTGGCTCCTGTTTTGCTTTTCAGGTTCAAAGAGCGTCTTGATCGTTTTTCAGCTGATGGGTCTAAGATAACAGTGGTTAGAACACAAGACGAGAATGTGGAATCGTCAACGGCAGTGATGGAAGGGGAGTTGGCGCCGCTGGGCCTTCTGAATGAAAAAATCCAAAACCTTGTGGTTTCGACGAAAAGTTATGCCACTATCGATGCGTTGAAGCCCTATGTTCCATACTTGGACGAATCGTCAAATGTGCTTATATTGCAAAACGGGATGGGCATGGCCGAGAAGCTTAAAGGGGCGTTCTGGGCAGCGAGTCTGCTGAAAATTCCAACTTTTTATGAAGCCATTTCGACCCACGGCGCATATAAACCGTCTCCTAATATCGTTAACCATGTGGGTTTGGGTAAATTGACCATCTCTCCAGCTGGTATAAACACTGGAAGTGTAAACGAGAAACCTGAGTTGGTGAAGGCGCTTCTAGATTGTCATAGACTTAACGCTTGCTGTGTTTCTCAGGACGACATGCTTCTAACGCAGATGGAGAAGCTTATAGTGAATGCTTGCATCAATCCACTCTCAGCATTGCTAGATTGTCTCAATGGCGATTTGCTTTATGGATCACAGGTGGTTCCAATCATGAAGCGGGTCATTGCAGAGGCTTTGGACTGTTTTGGAGTGGAGTTTGGTAAACGCATTGCAGATATAGATGGGGCCAAGACGTTTTTAAACCGTGAACGGTTATTGAACTCTGTGCTTAAGATATGCAAAGATACCGCTCAGAATAGCTCTTCCATGAGAGAGGACGTCAGACACATGAGAACCACTGAAGTGGAAGCCATCAATGGATATATTTGGGACCTTGGCAAGAAACACTCTGTACCCACACCAGTCAACCGTATGTTGGTGTTTATGGTGCAAAACAAGGTCTCTATAGAACGAGGCATTGAAAAATCAGCATTAGAGGAGCTCTAAATCATGGAGAAAAGTCCTGGAGCGTTTTCTCTGCTAAGGTCTTGGTATCGTTATAGAGCGTCGCTATGGCCTTCATTCTGGCATCTGAAGCGTCCACAGAAAGCTTTTTATCACAGTCATTCACGATCTTCTTCAAAATATGGCTCAAGAGAGTCTGGCTTTTGTTCTGGTACACTGTTCCATCGGTCATGCCGTCAACGAACGCACGAAGCTTTCTCGACAGCGAAGGGTCGTTTTCTTGTAAAGTGGCCAAGGCAATTTCTGTTCTAAACGAGATCCCCAGGTCGTTGATTGTATAATCTGCATAATACCCAGCTTCTTTAAGGAACGCAACTTGCTGAGGCCGAAGCAAAGGCGTGAGGTAATCGGAAACATCAATATAGTTCCATCTATTCTGGGGAAGCGTGAACCCATACTCACACAAAAGGAATTCATTCGAATGAGGACCATAACTGAAGTACAATTCAGCGCCTGGACTATAAGTCGTGGACGTGAGAACGTGGAAACCGTGGGAATCGATTTTAATACCACACTCGTCGTTTCCCAGGTGGTTTAGGAAATCCACATACGGTGCCAAGGTGAAATTATCACTGGAATCGGTCTTTTGTGGCATTTCCATGTATAAGCAACGAGAATTGATACACATCCAGGCCCAGAGGAACTCAGTTCTATCAATATGCACTGAACCCAAGAACTCACTGCTTACTGAGTAGTCCGTTTCAAACCGCTGTAGCACCTTTTCTGTATGTTTTCTAGTAGATCTAGGAAGGTATTTGGTTAAGTTTTCGTGGCCAGGAAGCTCCAAAAGCGTCCATACAAATGGAGCCAATGAAAGCTCATCTAACTCAGGCAACATATCCAAAAACGGTTTCCAGAAGGAGTTTCCACCTCTTCGGCGCTCCAAAACCAAATAAACACTCAAGAACTGAAACGACAGAAGCTTCAACACCCCGTCCAACGTAAACTTGCCGTACACTTGAGTAACCTCATCCTGAGGAGTCGAAGGAACCACCACTTTGGCGTAATACGGCTCGTTCAAACGAAACCCAGCAAACTTGCCCACGTGCGTAAGTGCCGTAGTGAAATTGAGCAAAAGCGAATGTGAAATATTGACTATTTCTTCCACTGCAGCGATCTGGGCTGTGGCATAAAGACCTCTTCCTGAATCTGGGGCGTTTTTCACGGTAATTTTAGGCGAAACGAACGCCGAAGATGCGTTGGACCGGAGCCAATCCAAAAGTATATCCAATTTGTCGTCAAAATCCTTCATTCTTCAATACTGTATGCCTTCTCTGAAAAGTAGGTAATTAGTAGTAGGAAGGCATCACCAAAAGGTAGGGGTACTACCTGCAGTACGTTGATAATAGTAACTACTTCCACCAACAACAACCCCGTGTCAATTCCACAATGCGGGTACTTTGCGTGGCCGAAAAGAACTCTATCGCCAAAGAGGTGGCCCACGTGCTCTCGGGAGGCCGCGTTCGGCCCCGAAACAGTCTCTACAAGTATGTGAAGAACTACGATTTCACGTACACTTTTCCAGGCCTAGGGTCCTGTGAAGTGACCATGACAGCCGTGGCGGGCCACGTGTTGACGACAGATTTCGGGCCTGAGTTCAGCTGGGGCAAGTGTCCGCCTGGGAGGCTTTTTGACGCGCCGTTTTTGACCAAACCACCGCCTGACAGTGACCAGAGATCAGGGATCCATAAGAACATCGTTAAGGAAGCCAGAGGCGCAGATAGACTTATGATATGGACAGATTGTGATCGAGAGGGGGAGTACATTGGCTGGGAGATTTTGAGCGTGGCTCAGGGCGCCAATCGGCGGATTAGCTTGGAAACTACATGGAGAGCCCAGTTTTCACATTTGGAGCCTTCACATGTGGTTGAGGCAGCGAGGAATCCTAAGTCGTTGGATATGAGGCTCGTGGAGGCCGTGGAGTGCCGTACAGAGTTTGATTTACGCGTCGGGACGCTGTTTACGCGTTTTCTTACGAATATTTATAAGAGCAAGAGACTTGTGGGTGAGAAAGAGGTGGTTTCGTATGGAACGTGCCAGTTTCCCACATTGAGCTTTGTGGTGGACCGGTACATTCGTGTGAGGAAGTTCAGGCCCGAGCCGTTTTGGAGTATAGAGCTTGTGGTTACGAAGGATGGCCAGAAAGTGAACTTTGCATGGTCTCGGAACCATTTGTTCGATAAGATGTTTGTTTATGTGATTTACGCTCAATTGCTTAATGGGCCTGAAAAACCACGGATTGTTGGCGTCAACACGAAACCTACATCCCATTTCAAACCACTACCGTTGACTACAGTGGACCTCCAGAAATGCTGTTCTCGGTACTTCCGCATGCTGGCCAAAGCGGCGCTTGACGCTGCAGAGCTGCTTTATACTGCTGGATTTATCTCCTACCCACGTACGGAAACTGACCGGTTCCCAGCAGAACTTGACCTTCAGAATTATATCTCGAAACAGACCCAGAACCCTGAATGGGGACCTCACGCTTCGCTGCTTCTTCAGGGCGGCTTCAAAGCGCCAAGGGGAGGTAAACACGACGATAAAGCACATCCTCCAATTTACCCTGTCAAATTTACATCACTTGACGCTTTAAGGCCTGACCAGAAGAAGGTATATGAGTTTGTTGTAAGAAGATTCTTGGCGTGTTGTTCAGACGACGCTCGTGGTTTCCAAACGAAAGTCGACCTTCAATGGCGTCTAGAAAGGTTCACAGCGCTGGGATTGCAAGTCACTGAACGTAACTTCTTGGACGTTTACCCATATACTGACTGGAAATCGCTGGTTCAACTTCCACAGTTCACCGAAGGCCAGGAAGTCGAACCTTCAAGCTGTAAAGTCAAAGAAGGTAAAACCAGTCCTCCAAATTACATGACAGAAGCAGAACTCATTGCTCTCATGGATGCTAATGGTATAGGGACTGATGCTACCATTGCCGACCATGTGGAGAAGATTATCCAGAGAAACTATATCACGCGAAGGAAGATTGGTAAAACAGAGACATTCATTCCTACTTCGCTTGGAATTTCGTTGATTGAAGCCTTTGACGCTATTTTGATCGATAGGATATCGTTGCTGAAACCGTTTTTGAGAAGAGCCATGGAAGGGTTCCTCCAGAAGATTTCACGAGGGGAGGTTTCCAAACAGGGAGTTATTTCCCAGCTTTTGCCGCTTTATAAGGAAGCTTTCATGGAGAGTAACCAGAAGGGAAACGTTATTACTGATACGTTTATCAGGACGAACCGAGGGTTGTCTTAAGTTGGTCAAGAGAACGCGGTTTGAAAGAAATGGCATTACCAGGAGGAAGAGGCGAAGACGAGGTGACTACTACAAAGCTTTTTTTTTTTTAAAAAAAGCCCAAACAGATAAACAGATAAACTGGGAACTCGTCTTTTGCAGCCATTGGTATCTACCTCGGAGGTACGGGTGTCTACGCATCATACACTAGTCTTCCAGTCTTCCATTCTTCACCAAACCAGTACTCCCATCCAGGCTCTTCATCCCCACAATGCCGCCAAAGCAAGTATGCAAATTCTTTCAACAGGGAAACTGCCGATTCGGTAACTCGTGCAAGAACATCCATCCGTCCGGCGGCGTCAACGCAGCCTTCAAAGCTTTTCAAGACAAATCTCCAAGTGACTTGGCCAACACCATCAAAACAGACCTTAATGAACTACCGACCTTCCATTTTAAGCCTACTTTGACAACTTACGGTCTCAATGAACATACAGCGAATAGTTTGATCGAAGGCAGAGACTTGTCTCCAGAAGAGCAAAGGCTCCAGTATATGGAAGCAGCAGCCAACAATACGCTTGACGCGTATAACAGAAACATTGAGTTGCGCCAAAAGGATATGGAGTATTGCGTCGAAGAAATCAAAGCCAAGGATAGCCTTGCTGCTAGGTACCAGCAGGTTGGAGCTACGCGGAAAGAGCTGATCAAGCCGTTTATCCCGAAAAGTCTAGAACAGAGTATTAACGATCTACAGAATAGCAATTCCACCGGGTTCGGTGGCTCGTCCGCTTTTGGCTCGTTCGGCGGGTCTGGGAATTCAGGCTCTTCTGGGTTTGGATCTTCTGGGTTCGGTTCTTCGGCTTTTGGTGGTGGAGGTGGTTCTTCAGGCGGTGCCTTTGGCGCACAGAACACTTCGACGTTTGGGCTGCAAAATACCCAGCCTTCGGCGTTTGGGCTGCAAAATACACAAAATTCAGCATTTGGGCTGCAAAATACAGCACAGACATCAGCATTTGGGCTGCAGAACACTGGAGGAGCGTTTGGTAACCAGAATTCGGCTGGGTTTGGCCAGTCAGGGTTTGGAAATACAGGTGATAAAGGGGGTAGTGCTTTTGGTTCGTCTCCGTTTGGAGGGCTGAATAATGCTAAACCTTCAAGTGGATTCGGTTCTCTGGGCTTTTCTTCTAATAATAATGCATCAGGTGGAGCTTTTGGGGGAGCCTTTGGCTCGCAGGCTACGTCAGGAAATACTGGAGGAGCGTTTGGATCGCAAAGTACTTCAGGAAACAGTGGTGGAGCATTTGGGTCACAGAGTACTTCAGGAAGTGGAGCATTTGGGTCACAGAGCAGCGGCGCCTTTGGGTCTCAAAACAATAAACCAGCAACAACACAGCCTGCTCAACTGAGCAGTGGTTTCGGACAACTGGGATTCGGACAACTGGGTTTTGGCCAATCTGGTTTTGGACAATCTGGCTTTGGCCAGCTGGGATTCGGACAATCAGGATTTGGTGGTTCTGGAAGCGACAACAAGACAGGCTCAGCGTTTGGTCAGTCAGCATTTGGCTCTTCCAACCAGTCCAACAACACATCTGCATTTGGCTCTTCTAACCAGACCACATCTGCATTTGGCCAAAGCGGGTTTGGACAAAAACCAGCTACTGAATCTTCACCATTTGGCCAAGCATCAACAAACACCAACGCCAACCAAGGCTTTGGAGCCTCTCAACCGTCACAAACATCCGCTTTTGGCCAATCAGGGTTCGGTTCAGCCAAACCAAGTGCTTTTGGCAGCAGCCAGCCTCAATCTACAACATCAGCATTTGGCCAAACCACTTCCCAGCCAGCGCAAAACCCATTTGCTCCAGCCCAACCTTCCAACGCTGCAGGTACAGCTCAAACAGGTACAACAAACAACCAACCCAATTCTTCAGGGTTTGGAGGGTTCACCAGTGCTCCAAGTAACGCTCTGCCCTTTGGAGCTGCTCCAACAACAGCACCAGCACAACAAACTCCACAAACCAGCGCTTCTTCAAGCTCTGGCGATGTTTATCCTGACGCATACAACGAACGCCAGTTCGAGCTTGGTCTTGTTCCTGAAATACCTCCTCCACCCCAGATATGTCGATGAACAACAAACGACATATCGTCAACTACCTCAGCATACACAACAAAGAAGCATTACATTACCGCTTTCGTTATAACTAATTCATAAATATACATGTCCATGTGGAATGGACCAAGTCATTGCCATTTGCAGCCAGTTGGTACTTGGCATACACACCCGTGCACCACGCATTATCACCATCCCAACTACCACAACTTCCACATTCCTTCTTCTCCAACCATGGCATGATCTGTGTAGAATGCACAAACCCAAACATCAAGCTGCTCTTCACAGAGTTCAAAAGCAAGTACATCCAAATGTCCGTTTGTCCTGAATGCGGCAAGTTGGCTGACAAGTATATTGAGTTTGACTATGTCATTCTCTTTTTGGATGTGCTTCTTTTGAAGCCCCAGGCGTACCGCCATTTGGCGTATAACGTCGTGGAGGAAGCGATCTTCGCCAATAAGAAAGCTCTTTCCTTTTTTGAAAGGTATAAACTGCTTTTGCGTTATGCTGCGTTGACGGTGCTTTTTGAAGTGTACCTCAATTGGGCATATGAAGAGAAACACGAAACACATAGCGTTATTGTGGAACGTGTTTTGCAGAAACCGGTTCCGCTTCAGTACTTGTTCTTCATTTATCAGCAATTGGCCGAAAGGATCGTGCTTTGCACGCTTATCGATACGTGTTTCAGGACATTCATTGGCTGGGGGAAGGAACCCAATAGGAACCTACCGCCGGCGCTTCAACGGGGGTACCTTATATCGGTGCTTTTGCTGACGGTGTTCATGTCGTTGTCGATTAAATGCATTCCGATTATCATGTTGATTTGGCCGTATGATAATCATAGTGTTGCTTCCATTGTGGTTGATATCTTGGGCCTTGTCAATACTATTGAAGCGCTTCGAATTAATATTGGATCTTCGTATTTGCTGACGTCAGCCATTGTCGTTGGCGCTTCAATCGTGCTGGTTTTGTTTCGGAAACTTGCAATCAGCGTGTTGGTAGCAGCACTAGGCGAATCCTCAGCGACTGACTTGTTCATTGGCGAGCTCGTACTCTGGAGAGAACAAGCATACGCTATGAAGAACTTCTTTGCCGCTTAAAACTCAGGAATGGGCTTTTTGGATGTATGTCCATCGGGACCAATAACAAGCACCTGGTCGTTCTCCAACGCAATAATAGGACCGTCGAGGTCATTAATCAAGTCTGGATACTCGTACGTTTGTTGCGACTCTCTGCGCTCATCCAAGGTTTGGCCTCTGTCCAGAGCATTATCGTCTTCAAGATCCTCCTCCTCGTCGCCGTGGAAAGGCAATTGGTTGTTTTCAATGGCTCTCAAGGCAATGAACGAAGACAAGGGGATGTAATGGCGGTGGAAGTTCCAAAGCACCGCCATCGTAAAGACAGCCAAAGGAACCATAAACGTGGCACACACATACGCCTTCAGCGAGGCAAGCGTGCCGAACATGGTGGTATGGAAGATCAAAAGTCCCAAAATGACTCTTCTGACCACCAACGGCCACACTTTACCCGTATTGTGTGGCGGATGGACACATGCATAAAGCAACTGGTACTTAAACACAAAGTACCCGATAATGAAATAGATCAACCCGGCGGTAAGGATTTTCGTCGAAATCACGGAATATGTGATGGTAATAATTAATACAAGGATAGGCTGTGGCAACTGCAACCCGAAATTAAACACCGGCGGCTTATAAAGATTAAGATAGTCTCTGGGCGTCTTGCACCAGAAGATGTTGCCAATAGGATACTTGAGAAGGTTACCCAAAAGGAGCAATTTATAAGGAAAAATACCAATGCCCTGAAGGATAATCAAATCCACATAAAACAAACTCAACTTTTGAAGTGAATACGCCAATTGGTAAGCGAGCTGAGCAGTATCACTGATTATAGCAGTTCCGAAAAGCGTAAACACAAGGAACAAGTTCACAAAGATGTAAAAGAAGTTCTTGGAGACAATAGACAACTCTTCATCTCCATGGGACGTATAGCCCTGTCTCTTCGTGACCCAAATATAGAAATATGGCATGACGATGTTGAATATGGTAAAGACATAAGGAGGTAAAATACCTGTAATGAGGTTCTCTGCCCACTTATGGTCTTTCAAAAAGGCCCCCAATTTAGGTGCAACCTTCGAAATGGTCTTGACGTTTAAGAAATTAGATAAGAACTTCACCGGGAACACCAAAAGAACGGAAACGAGACCAATAAAGACCATAACAAAGAAGATTCTGGTGTTACGTTCTTTTCTGGTCAAACAGAGATTCTCCCAGATGATATCGTGAGGAGCAGGCGCCAAGTTGGTAATTAAATGGTTCACTTTGGGGTCAAGCACTGCCTGGGCAAGCATCTGGGCTTGAGCGACCGAACGCATAGTAATGAACGCAGTAGAACTTGGAGGAAACTCACGAAGCCTATACCGTTTGATCTCCTTATCGATGATTTCAAGCTGGTTCGTGTAGTAGCTGATAGAATCGACTTCAGGGCCAAAAATGCCCCACCAGCCCTTTCTCATCTTTGGTCTTTTTGCAGCATCGTCGTTTAAAAGCGGAAGTTGGCTGGCACTCCCGTCAAGAGCGTTATGGTCATCAATATGCTCAGAGATCTGGTCAATGATGGACGGCGTTGAAACCGCCGAAGCAGCGTTACTTTCAACGTCACTAGTAGACCCAGCGCCATCTTCTTCATCGGTAAATGCCGTTCCCAGCGATTGCCCTAGATTAAACAGATCACCTATCGAAGGCCTTATCCGAGAAGTCATCACATCGGTAGTATTCTTAAGCCCATTGGTGCTCAAATACTCCACCCACGTAACCTCAAGCAGCCGAAGAACCTTCTTCCGCAACTTAAACAAGGTATTAAGCGCATTCCATTCCTTAACCACAACCACATCCTGGACTTCTCCCACTCCCAACAGGTTGATATGCCTCTTGAGCGCCTCTTCTTCACGCAACAGCGGCAGAATACCCAGAAGCTTGATTGTACGGTCCGTAATAGAACTCTGTTTCCCAAGGTAGCTCTGTCTCATATCAATAATCCTCAATGTCTGTCTGTGAAGAAGGTAGATAACAAGACCAGTAAACACATACGTGAACGCCGTGTACATCCACAAAATCGGCTCATCGTCAGGTTTCTTATGTTTAAGAAGCTCCACGAGCTTCACGCCAAACCCCACTGCCGCCAGCCCAGTAACCGTAGAGTTATTACCTTCATCTCCATCCCCATCGTCATCCGGATCCGGAAGGTCCATACGGCCCGTATACTTATACCGAACGGGAGAAATCACCGTCACAGCAAACACAACACACGTGGCCAACGCTGTGATGCACATCTTAAAGAAACCAAGAAACACCACTGCATCAAGCCCAGCATGTTCTAGCACCTGGCTTTCACTGATTTTAAACACAATGGGCACCCAGCCAAATAACGAGTTTTGCGGGAGCAAAGGCAAGTTCTGCCGCAGATGACTATGGAGGTAATTCTGGTTGATTCGGTTGAAATTGGCCACATAGATCCTGGGGTACTTCTTTCGTAGTATACAAAAGATAAGAAAGGCAGAAAGGCCTAGGAAGAGCGCCACGAGCAACTGGACCCGGGCGATTCTTGCGCCTGCCCTGTAGCCCGTGCCGTCCCGAATGGGGTCGTAGATGGGCCTTGAAACGTTGGTAAGGAGATCCATGGAGGTGTGGATGGGAAGTCATGTCTGGCTTGCTGATATGGCTGAGGTCACGTGACCGAGTTTGGGACATTGCATTTTAAAGGTCGCCACGCCTCCGATAAGCCAAGGCAGGGGGGGTTTTGGGTATAGGGACGCTACCTGAGCAGACAGAGCTGCTCAGATAATTGTTTGGAGGGACGGGATAGGCCATTGAATGGGTGACCTTGTCTGGTGTACGGGTCTTTTCTAAACCCTATCTGTATGTTTTGATATCAATTTGCAACCATTAATGAGTTACCTCTATATTAAGCGATTTGTCGAAGAACAAGTTGAAATACTCAGTCAACCGTTGGTTATTGATGATGACGTGCGCCGGGTAATGGCCAAACACAATCTTCCCGAAGAAACGGTGAAAAACGCCCTTTTCAAAGTCAACCTACTGTTGAAGAGACATAACAAGCACAAGTTCAGTAAACAGGTGGTACATCAGCTTGTGCAGCAGATTACGAAAAACGAACATGATAAGCTTATGAAGGTGAATGAACAGTTACAAAAAGTTACCCAGTTAGTTCAGCCTATAATTGTGCCTGAAGCCAAAGGAGGACTTACAGTACTGGAAAGAGTTACTAGGCTACAAGAATTGGCAGATGTTTTGCCTGAACCAGCCTATTTATTTGCATTGGACGGAGGGGAAGATGAGGAAGCAGAGAAGGAGAAGGTTGAAGAAAAGGAGGAGGATAACGAGGATGGGCTTATAGTGGATGATCAGGATAGAGTGGAACGGATCCTGAAGAAACAGCTTGAAGAAGAGTATATTCAGGCGATCAGGGAGGAAGTTAAAGAAGACGTGACGTTACAGAAAGCCACCAATGAAGAGCTACGCCAGCGGTATGCTGCCCTTCGTGAACAGTTGGTAGAGATCAGCCAGAAGCTTATTTATGACCAGCAGAAGTTGGGGTACTTGGAGGCGCTTGAAAAGAAGGTTGAGGCTTTGAAGGGCAGTGGGATGGAGGCGCTGGAGGCGCTGGAGGCGCTGGAAGGTGGAAGAGATGACCTAGAGGCCCAGATCACCAGGTTCCGTATTCTCGTGGAGAAGTTGGAGTACGCCACGACGTAGGGTGGCAGGTGGGGGATGAGGGAAGGGAAGGGAAGGCAGATTTTTAAGAGTTTAAGACGTTAATTGAGGAGAATGGGTCGGTGGAAATTCGAAAGGACGGATGGTCCAGTTATTTATGATACTGGTATATTCCAAGATTCAGGTTTCAACCAAGCCAAGTCCAAGTCAAACGCAAGCCAAATTCTCCTGATAAAATACTGATTTCTATCGAGAAAGCGAGGCTATCAGTTATGCTGGTCCTACACTGAACGCGTTTAGGTTCATGTCTTGTGCTTTGTCTGTGTCTTCAAGTGAAGAGCATCATCCAACGGCTCTCCAGGCCTCTCATCGACCAGCCTTAGCTAAATCGATGCCCAAGCAGCAGCAAAAAGATAAATGGCGTTCGAATCATGCCCATATTATAATAGTACTGTCCTTCACAGACATCAGTATACCCATAATCCATAAAGCATACCATTCAAATCTTCAACCACAACACACCCTACACTTTCTACACATCTCTAGTAAGAGTCTATATTAAAAGGTAAATATTAACGAGACGCTTAGTCGAACAAACCGAAGCCCATGTCGTCGTCAGACTCCTCCTTGGCCTCTTCCTCCTTCTCCTCAGCAGCAGCCTCGTCAGCACCGCCAGCAGCAGCACCAGAAGAAGCACCACCAGCGGCAGCACCACCAGATGGAACAGAAGCCAACTTGGTGTTACCCTCGGCAATCAACTCCTCAACAGACTTGCCGTCCAATTCAGACAACAAGGTGGAGATTCTGGACTGGTCAACCTCAGCACCAACAGTCTCCAAGAGAGAGGAGATGTCAGAAGCAGAAGGGGCGGAGTTACCACCCTGGACCAACAACAAGTAAGCAGCCAAGTACTTCATTTTAGAATAATCAGTTTAAGCGGGAAAAGTGCAGACTATCCTTTGGATGAGGAGGATGAATATTGAAGATTTTTTTTTTCAGTGAGTATGTGGAAAGGCCGGTACACCAGCGGTACCTTTGGCTGGATAGCTTGGATGGCTCCAGCCAGCCAAGCGTCAAAGCGGGCCCCAAGACAAGTCAGAAGCTTATTGTTATCCTTTCATGGATTCAATACGGGCCCATTTATTTGAATTGAACGGGATTCTATGAATTTCAATATATGTGGTCACGTGACCCTGCTTGGTCAGCAGCAGAGACCCTCCGCCAAAAAGCACTTAAAGGGGTGCTGTCGGGGTGAAACTCTGCCTACAAGGCACTTTACCGCCAGGTAAAGTGCCGATGTTGTCCATTTTCTCTTCCCTCCCCCCAATGCCGAGTTGTGTTGGGCCTGGCTGGCTGCAAAAGACAGTCACGGCCTCACGTGACCAAGACCCATCACCGACATCCACCAAATCGAGCGAGGGCTGGAGCATACTTAAACCGCGTGTCACGTGATCCGAGCGTCCCCTTCCCCCCCAAACGCTGCGAAATTATCCTCCCTCATACACTCCCTGCCAGACAAAAATTTTCATCCATAAACCCATAGATTTTTCTTCTGTTACAACTTAACAACCCATCATGGCTGAGACTAGTATGTACTGACCCCTCCACGGCGCAGAAACGACAGAAACGACGATCCAGAAAACGAAAAATCCATCAAAAATATAAAGAGAGTGTCCAAAGCGTTCCTTTCCAGAGACCCCAAACGTCCAATCCAGGTAACCATCAATGATGTCCAACAACTGAAGTGAAGATCCAAAACAACCTTGATTATTGAAGTTCCTCCTCCCTCTCCTTCGTTAATGTCAACCCAACCTGCCATCCTTCTTTTCATGTACTAACCCCAGACACTAGGAAGAGAACGTTCAAGTCCTTCTCGTTCAAAGGCGTTGACCTCGAGCAGCTTTTGAAGCTCGACACCGAGGAGTTCACCCAGCTCTGCGGTGCCAGAGTCAGAAGAAGATTCTCCAGAGGTTTGGGCGCCAAGCCTATGGGCTTCATTGCCAAGTTGAGAGCCGCCAAGTTGGCTGCCCCAGCTAACGAGAAGCCAGCTATTGTCAAGACCCACTTGAGAAACATGATTGTTGTTCCAGAGATGATCGGCTCCGTCGTTGGTGTCTACAACGGTAAGGTTTTCAACACCGTCGAGATCAAGCCAGAGATGGTTGGCCACTACTTGGGTGAGTTCTCCATCACTTACACCCCAGTCAGACACGGTAGAGCCGGTAACGCTTCTTCCAGATTCATTCCATTGAGATAGGCTGTCATATAGTAATACTAGTATAAGAGAGAGCGTTGTAGAAATTTAGCTATATTGGCGATAGCCAATATCTAGTGCCAATATACCCAGTAGCAACTATCTCATCGCACTACTACACCTCCTCCCCATGGTGGACCCTATCAAAGAGGTGGCCTACGGCGCTGCAGCAGGCTGTGTGGGTAAACTCATTGAGTTCCCGTTCGACACTATCAAGGTTCGGCTCCAGCTGGCGCCCAGCCAGCTTTCTACCGTGCAAGTCATCTCATCTACCTTCAAACAAGAAGGACTAGTGAATGGCTTCTACAAGGGCATTCGGGCGCCCATGGTCGGGGCGTGCTTGGAGAATGCTGTGTTGTTTCTGGCGTTTCAGTATGGCCAGGAAATGGTCAGGAATGGCACGTCTTTGAACCCTTCTGGGTTGGTTGCAGTGTGTGCCTCGGGAGCGTTTTCTGGGTTTGCTGCTTCTTTCGTCTTGACGCCCGTGGAGCTTGTTAAATGTAAACTTCAGGTTCTGAACCTTCATCTGCATTCGAAACTGGCTTCGTACGGGTCCGTGGTGCTGAAAATCATCAAAAGAGAAGGTGTGGTTGGACTATGGCATGGCTTGAGCTCTACGTTGCTTCGAGAGATGGCAGGAACGGCAGTATGGTTTGCTACCTATGAAGAATCTCTAGGAGCCCTTCGAAAACATAACCCTAAAGCTGAAAATACCAATTGCTTGGTTTCGGGCGCTGCTGCTGGCTTCATGTTCAACTTATCTATCTTTCCAGTGGATACCATCAAACTGGTGATTCAAACGCACGACGTGACGCTGCCGACGCTGGGGAAACTCAGCTTTGGCCAGGCGGTGGCCAATTTGACCGCCAGGAAGGGCGGCCTCCTAAACTTGTACAATGGTCTTTCCATCACCTTGGTACGGTCCATCCCAGCCAACGCCGTGATCTTCTACGTCTACGAGTACCTCAAGACGAACTTCTAGATCACACAGACGCATTATTTATTCAATAGACAGTTAAAAGAGCGTGGCGGCGGCCTGGAGGTCGTCGGCGTTGATAAGGTCGCATCCAAGGCTCCAGAGCGTCTTCCAGTGGGAGTCTCTCACATAGATGGGCCAGTCAACACCGCCCCAGATTCTCGTACGGAGTCCGTGCTCGTGGGCCTTGTCGAAGTAGCTCTTGAGCGCTTTCTGGTGCTCTTCGGTCAAGTCTCCACGTACAGCCAGCTTATAGAGTTTATCGCCGAGCAACTGCTGAAGCGAAGCACTGGCGAGTTTGCACGAGCGCTCGTAACGGGTCCAGTCTTCATCAGACGTTTCATCAGTGAACTTCTGCAATGGACAGTCAGCGTAAACATACCTATTCTCGCCAGAAGTCAGTTCCTGGTCAACCACGTCCCAAGGCACATCTCCAGTTAATGTGAGAATGATAGGCCCGTCAACGTGTTTATTGTTCTTGCTATCATAATAAGCCAAGTAGTCCTTATCGATAAACCGCTTCAAGTATGGTTTCAACTTTTCATAAAGTTCGTGTCCCTCAGTCTTCAAGTCCAACCAGAAGAACAACGGGATCTCAGGGGCATCGTAAAACACACTAAACTTGGAGTCGATTTTTTCAAGAATCGGTACAGAAAAGTCCTTGTTTGCTCCCTCAAGAAAGTAGTACAACGGGTCCAAGTACAACGCATCCAAGGTGTTGTGCAGCGACAAGTACACCTGGTTATGGCCCACGTACACCTCGTTATTCTTAAACTCCTGGGTAGTTTCCGTAACAGTATCACTCACCGTGTACGTTTCATTGAAATGCCAAATGTCTCCTTCCACACTCACCACTCCCCACAGCAAAGCGTCCAAAAGAGGTCTCTTTCTCCAGTAGTCATTATGTGAATGGATAGCCTTGATATGGACATCTCTGGTGAGCGATTCGGCCGTTTCAAACCGGTACGCCGGTATGTGAGATGTTGGATCAGCAATCTGGGGTCTAAAAACGTTGATCATCTTGATGAAGAAGAAGAAGCAAACGAGTAGTTCTTGCTTAAATTGACATGTTTTCGCAGCTACTTGCGGCACCACGTGAAGTCACCCCGGATTTTGTGGATTTTTCAGTGCATGCGCATTTTAAGTAATGGCTGCAAAATGGGAAAACGTGGTTTATTCAGGGGATTGGGATTTCTGGGGGACGGTGTTCGAGGGAGGTGATTGGCGGAAGGTGAGGAACTGTTGGAGGGTTTTTTGAAGGTTTTGGAGGTGGGCGGATTGGAGTTCTGGGGGAAGCTCGTCAGAAGTGGCTTTGCTTGTAATGGTGATGACTTTCTGTAGAATGGAAGCAGCGTAGGTGACGGATGGATCTATTCGTTCACTGACCTTTTTCCATGACTCTTCGCCTTGGGTCAAGAACAGTGGGCAGGTTGTCCAGTGGACGGTGTTGTCCATGGAAGATACGCCATAGGCCACAGGCCAGTCTTCTCCTTCAATGTGGCCTCTGGATGCTTCTAAAACGTTGCATATGCTTTGGATCGGTGTAGAAAGGGCACAGAGTTGCTTTAGTTGGGATTCTGAGGGTTTGCTGGATTCGAGGTCGGTGGAATGCTGGAGGAGCTGGGCATGGCTGTAGACGCAAAGTGCAAGGCTCATGTGTGAATTGACCAATACCTTGTCTTCTTTGAGGACGTAGAACGGTTCAAGGTACTTCTCTACGGACGTATCTTTCAGTATCCCTTTTTCAGCACCGTTTAAAACCATTGTTGCCTTGATGAGTGCTGTAAAGTCGTTGAGCTCACCGCTGTCAAACTCTTCCCATGTAGGACTCGTCATATATTCCCCATACGAGTAACTTTCATTGGACATTGGAAACGGAAACTTGTATAGTTTGGCTTCTTCAAACACATACGAGAAAGCGCCAGGCCTCTCGATGATGGGATCGATCCAAAAGTTCCATATAGCACGGACCTTCTGTTCCTTTTCTATTCGTTTCCGTTTGTTCATATTACCGCTCAACGATAAAAGTTCAATGTACTTGTTGGAATGGAGTATTTCAAGGAACTTCACATCCACAAGCCTGTGACGGTCAGCTTTCAACGTAGGCACTTTCCTTAATAATGTATAGCACAAGAGCATTCCGTGGTCGTCAAGCATATCCATATACTTGTAAGTTTTCATAATCCATGCTTCCTCGTCTGTATCGATATCCCATTTCTTCAACAGACATATTCGAGCTATTATAGCATGTATTAATGCAGCGTCATGGCGTAGAAATAACAGATGCAAAAAGGCTGATTTAGAAGGTAGGAGCTGGTCATTAGGGTGGCAGTAGCGATAGTAGTGGCTCAAAATCTGATCTAAAACCAGCCAGGTTGGTAGTTCATGTTTCTTAAGCTCGTCCTCCAGGATCGGGGTCGTTCCAGGCGCTGCTTCAACCTCACTGGTCTTATTTTTCGTTTGTGGAGAAGGCGATGCTGAAACCAGAGCTGAGGTTTCATTAGAGCTTGGTTCTTTGGGTGCCTCTCCATCATAGTAGCTTGAAGGGTAGCCAGAGTAGTAACTTCCAGGAGGAGGAGGCGGCGGTGGATGAAACAGAAAATGCGGAGGAGGCGGAGGTGGAGGTGGAGGCCCCAGAGATGCCAGGTACATTGATCTTCCAGAGCTGGACTCCTCGTGTCTCCTCAGTCCTGGTGGGCCTGGTGGTCCTGGAGGCCCTGGAGGCCCATGCTGTGAATAATATGAATAAGGAGAGCCATATGGAGGTCCATAAGGGCCTGGCAGTCCGTGTGGAGGCCCATGGCCCCAGTAGTGATGCCCATGGCGTCTAAATGCATGATGATGGTGATGATGGTGATGTCTTGGAGGCCCGTAAGGCCCAAAGAACCCTCTAGGCGGACCAGGGTAATGGTGATGAGGCGGTGGAGGCGGATGGTGAGGGTACGGCGGGTACTGGTGCCGTTGTTGATGTTTCAGACCATCCTTTGGTGGTCTTCGCTTTGGATCTGGCGGTCCAGAGCTCGGCAGCCGTAGCCCTGGCGTATTCAACGTAAATTCGTCCAATTTAGACGGCGTGTCAGGCTCGCTAGGCAGAAGGATCAACGGTGGAGGCCTTCTTCTTCGTTCACTGCTTCCACCACTATATTCACTGGCCAGGTCAGAACCGCCCAAATCAACAGACAGCCGTTTCCGTCGGCTTCCGCCTCGATGGCTTTGCACGAAAACACACTCTATTCCAACCATACGACAATTGGAGCATGTAGGACCATCTCTACCAGACAGCGTAGGCATGAACTCACCGTCACACTTGATCTTCTTCTCTCGGCACGAAAGACACGCTCTTCGAGCCACTGGGCGTGTTTGGCTCGGCAGCCTGGGCCCTACAGACGGTGAATATTGCAGCTGGGTCTCCAGGTCCTCGTCTGGCTCAGGTCTATATGATCTGTCAGAAGGAGCATCAACAGAAGACATTGGTCAATTGCAGTAGCATGTGAAAAAGGAAGGTACTGGGAGTTGCTTAAAGAAGGACTGGTTTTGGTTCTGGTTTTGGGTCTGGGCTGGGTGGTTTCTGGTTTCTGGTTCTTGGTAGTATACTGATAACCAGACGATGAACACTGTATATACTGAAACGAGGCAGGGCGGTTTTTTGCAACCAGTGGTGAAAGGATGGTTAAGTATCTTTAGAAATAAAGGTGAAAACCTGAAAAGGAAGGAAAATCGTGGAAAATCGTGGAAAAATAAAAAAGGAGATGGTGTTTTTTCTAAGTTTCGTGGAGGGGTCCCTGGGATGGCTTTTGTGGGCTTTTTCAGTGCAGATGGTGAGGCAGCGCCAGTGCTTAAACTGCCTAAGCGGGAACGGGTGGTGCCTTGAAAAGTGACACTTCTGGGGTCGAAGGAAGGGGAATTTGGAGGGATTTATATAGTTCGAGGACGGGCAAGGAAGGGGGGTTGGGAAATGTTTTCTGACTCGTATGTTTCAGAACGTGTAGGTGTGTTTCAGAGTATGTAGTTGGATAGCTCCGGAACGGGACCATCATGGTTCCATGTCGGCTGTGGAGTGGTGGGAGTGGGGGACAAAAGAAGAGGTAGTTGAAGATGGAGAGAAGATGATATAGATGGAAATGTGGTATTTTGAGGACTCAGTATAGAAATTGGGTGGGACCTTCTTGTGGTTCTTGATACTTTTAAATGGTTCCCTTGAGGAGCATTAAAGCATGGAACTATACCAGCTAGAGTACTTTAATGAGTATTTCTCACTATGAAGTTTACTGGCTTGATACTCTAGGTAAATTTATATTTATTTGGATTTATTTCAAGTACTTAAGTGTATATTAGATGTGGTCAATTCCTCTCCTAAGTTCTTCGTACCAATCATAAGAAAGTAGTATTACTTATAACGCATCCTATTCTACTTCTTTCTTTCTTTATCGTTATTATATTTCTTTTTGCTTTTTCATCTTCTTCTTTTATTGTCATTTACATATTTCAAGTTAACATCTTCATTCTGTACTGTCCCTCTCCAGTCCCCCTCCACGGCACCTACACCCTGTGTAAACGAATGTCCGTGTATAATGGTCTATTTACAGACTAGCGAAGAGTCTTTCTAACCTGAGTGCCACGGAGAATCAGCACGAGCTTGACGGAACCAGTCAACAACTCTTCCTTGAAGTAGAACAAGAAAGCAGCAGTGGTGATGGACTGGAACAACTTAATACCCAAACCACGGTACAAGCCTTCCAAACCTTCGTCAGAAACAATCTTCTGGATTTCCTGAACCATAGAAAGCTTCACTTCCTCGTCGCCAGTCTTCTCCAGCAACTGCTTCTTCTTAACGTGCATTCTCGACTTCAACGTGATGTATGGGTAAGTCAAAGTGGTAGCCACAAGCTTACCAAAAGCGCCAATAAAGAAAGCCTTGATACCGGTAAACGATTTAACACCGTTGGCAGCGACGATGATGTTCTTGATCTGCTCAAAGATCGTGTACTGGATGATTGGGTTAATCACCAACACCAAGGCAGGGAAAACACCGGCAAAAAGGGTTCCCAAGCCGTCCTGCTCGACAATCTCCAAAATAGCCTTAATGGTAGAACCGCTCAGGTTACCGTGTTCCTTAGCCTTGGTCATCATTCTAGTGTTGGCGACCCAAAATGGGTTTGTGCCTATCACAGTGATAGCACCGGCAATGGCACCGGTGATAATTGACTGAACCGTCGAAAGCCCGCCTCTCTTAAGCTTCCCAGCCCTGTTGGCCTTCAAAAACACATTCAGTGTCAACTCATAAAAGTAGTAGTAAATGAACTGGGAAAGCGTGATTCCGTACAACGCCAGCTCAAGTCCCGAGTACAACCCTAGCACGCCCTTCTCCTTCAAAATCTGCTTGGTAGCTTCCACAGAAGACGTTTTCTTCGCGTCCTCTTCCTTCTTCTTCTTGGTGGTCTGGGCCAACGTCGACAACGTGACCAACGGGTACGTGACAATCATGGAAAGGGCACCGCCGCCAGCACCGGCAATAGCATGGGCAATCTCGTCGCTGTCAGACATATTTTGGAAATAAATAAGTGGTGTTTTGGTAGAAAACCTGGGGTATTCTGGGGTAGTAGATATATATTTTTCGCGAGCGCACTTGAGCCAGTGTTGATGTTTGGAGGTGGAGGAAAGAAGGGAAGAAAGGGGTGGACCAAAAAGGGGGTTCCCGAATTTTCTGCAATATATAAAGGGCCGATTCCTGGTCAGTTTTTTGTGCTGATTTTTGTGGTGCTTTCAGTTCCCCCGAAATATGTTTCCCCGTGGAAATAACTGGACCTTTCTGAACCGTCCCCACGGGTCCTCCAGACCGTGGATGCACCGTGGCCGAGGCCTTTCACATGCGCCCCCGCAGAGGCCAGAGCGAGAGGACGAGGAAGAGAAGGAAGTGGAATGGCTGCAAAAGACAGAGTTGAGGTTGGAAGGGGTATAAAAAATAAAGTATAAATTATATGGACATTTTTTGGTTTTTGTGCTTTTGGGTGGTCGTTTTGGGGGAGGCTTGAGGAAGTGGAGGTATACGGAAGTGAGAAGGTGAGGAAGGGTGGAAAATTGGTTATGGACACTTTCGGGTGGTGGTTTTTTTTTCTTTGTTTTGGACGTAAAGGGGGAGTCGTTGGTGGGATTGGAGGATGTTTGGGGGTTGTTTGGGGGTTGTTTGGAGAAAGGGAGAATGGAATGGGTGGTGGTTGGTGGTTGGAGGAATGTGAGACATGGAGGGTGACGGTTGGTTGACAACTCTTAGGGGGTTTGTGGAGGTAAGAGATTTTGAAGAATGTGGAGAAGGATTGGTTGGTAAGAGATAGTAAGGAACTTGGAAAATTTTATGTTTGGTGGGGCTACGATGGGTAGTAGATCTGGTGGTGGATATATACCTACTCTCGTTTTCATATATACTCTTCTGTAGCACCTCCAAGTTTCTTGTGGTCCCTTTTTTTTTTTTTCTTTTTTTTTATTTATGTAATATTTACTTAAACAGTATCATTCTTGTGGCGTCGTTATATTGTCAAATTTATCTATTTCCCGGTGTTCTTATCCCTATCTATTTCCAGTTCTGTCCTTCATTAGACTTTATGCTATGGAATGAGCTAAGGAACTCCCAGAACCATCATTCACCAGACACGATAAGAAAGCTTAAATCTACAACGGTCATGATGTTTTAGTATTTTATTTTTTCTTCTTCTTCTTTTTCTTTTACGATTGAATGTAACTTTCATGTTTTCAGTAGGCACTCCTCCAGTGGTAGCACACTGGGGAATCATTAATCGGTACGCCTATAATTATGCCCCATTTATTTGGCTTATTGGAGAAATAATAGGTCTGTTTTTCTCCAATGAACGACAATAGGGAAAGGCTATTCGAAATTGGCGGCTGAGTGTTATTAGGATACGTTTGGGTAAGTACTTGAAAGGTATGTCAATATCGTAAGCGTCAAAGATCTCATTAGTCATTCTAGGACAACTTATGCCTCTTTTTTAGCTTTCATTAATACCAAGAGGGCCTCCTCATGATCTGGCGGTCTGTCCAACTTCCAGAATACTATACTTATCAAACAAAACGTTAAAAGCCAGGCACCAACAAAGAAACAGCCAATACAAGGGGACTTTCTTCACCACGAATTTCTTAATTCTTCTTGTCATAAAACAAACCCTCTCTTATAGTAACCATCTACACCCAGCAGCATCTGGTTTATCCTCCATTCTACCCTTAAGCAGTACTATTTACATGCGATTCTAACTCTGGTTCTGACTCTCCTGGATCAACTGTTCCGTCACCGCCTCAAGCAGCTTGTCGCCCTTCAAGAACTTCTCCCTCACAAACTCCTCTGCCAGCTTCTTACCGTGCACGTACGCCACAGCTCCCACAAGAGCATACATCATATGTGCGCTGACCTTCATTTCTCCACTAGACTCAAACGTCAAGTGGTGGTTGTGCAGTTTCCAGAACATGTTCTGGTTGAGGTTATGCTGTTTGGCGAAAAGACCCAAACTCGTCTTCCCTCCAAGCTCCTTGGCCACGGGCGTGCCCAACACATCCAAGTTCTTCCCGTTGATAGCGTTTTCGTTGCTTGTTTGCTGCTCAATGACATGTTTAGCCAAAAAGAGACTAAGCACCTTCAGGCCCATCACCACAAGCTTCTCATTGTACACTTTTATACCGTTACCAAACGATTTGTGCGTGAGAACCTGGCGAGCCATTTCTTCTGGAATGCTGTAGTTAGCCAAAAACTGTTTAATGGCGCTGGTGGCCTCGCTGGACCCGTATTCAATGCCAGTGTGTGTTTTAAACGCTTCTTTAGGGTCTCGACGAAGACCAGCCACTCTGGGACCGGTATGCAAGTAAATGGAGCGGGAAAAAAGCGCCAGACGAGGTGCTCTGGCTGCTCGTAATGGTACAAGACCGGCTTTGTCCACCAACATGACAAACTGGGGGATTTATAGTGGGGTTGGTGATTCTGAATCGGCTTCTTTTTCAGTAAGAATTTTTCGGTGCACTAAGTAGGTTGGTACAAGAGGGTTGTATGCAGGTTTCTCGCTTTAGCCCTTACAGAGATGGGCATCTCTCACCAAAGGCTTCTAATACTACTTCTACTTGGATGGACATTTTCAGGATATTGAGTCGAGGGGCGGCTCTCAAAACGAGTAAAGCGGCCACGGCTGACTTTTCAGAAAAATCGAAAAAACAAGACCCAAACAAGAACCACAAGTCTATCCAGGACGATATCGATAGAGAAACAGACTTCTTCAGAACAAAGAACCATAAACCCAAAGTGGAGGAAAAAGAAGACCAGGAAGAGGTCGAGGAGGCTCCAAAAGCGGTTATTTCTACGCCAGAAGATGCCCAGAAGTTCCGTAAATCAGCTGGGTCCAAGGTTACTGGCCATGATGTGCCTCTCCCCATCGGATCGTTTGAAGACTTGGTTTCCAGGTTTCAAATCAACAAAAGACTTTTGCATAACCTTCTAGACGCTGAGTTTGTGGAGCCAACGCCGATTCAGTGTGAAGGTATTCCTGTGGCGTTGAATGACAGAGACCTTATTGGATGTGCTCCTACAGGTAGTGGTAAGACATTGGCGTTTTTGATCCCGATGATCCAGACGCTTTTGGAGAATGCTCCTGCTAAGAATACGAAAATCAGGGGTCTTGTGATTGCGCCTACGAACGAGTTGGCGCTGCAGATTTTCCAGCAGCTTCAGACCATCACCAAGGGCCATAAGAGCTTGCCTAGTGCTATTCTTTCAAGGCAAATGGCTAGCCGGTTTCAGGATGGTGCTGTTAAGTCGACGAAATACGCTATTATCGTTTCCACGCCATTGCGTCTTCTAGATGTGGTCAAGAACGGGTTTGTCGATTTGACTACTTTAGAGCAGTTAGTCATTGATGAGGCCGATAGGCTTTTCGATAAGGGTTTCGTGGAGCAGACCGATGCACTTTTGGCGAACATGACGAATCCAAAGTTGAGGAGGTCTATCTTCTCTGCTACCATTCCTGCTGGTGTGGAAGAGCTTGCCAATTCTATCATGAGGGATCCAGTGAGAGTCATTGTGGGTCACAAGGAAGCTGCATCGCTGAATATCGACCAGAAATTGGTTTTCACGGGTAGCGAAGACGGTAAATTGGTTGCCATTCGAGAAATGCTCCAGAAAGGTGAGTTTAAGCCACCTGTGATCATTTTCTTGCAAAGTATCACTCGTGCCAAAGCATTGTTTCATGAATTGATTTACGATAAGCTTAATGTTGACGTTATTCACGCTGAGAGAACGCCTAAGCAGAGAGACGAGGTTATTAAGAGGTTCAAGAATGGTGATATCTGGGTTCTTATCACCACAGACGTGTTGGCCAGAGGTGTGGATTTCAAAGGTGTCAACCTTGTTATCAACTACGATGTTCCCCAAACAGCACAAGCATATGTCCACAGAATCGGTAGAACTGGGCGTGGTACAAACAAGGGTAAGGCCGTTACGTTCTTTACCAAGGAAGATACCACGATAGTTAAACCAATTGTCAATGTCATGAAGCAGTCTGGATGCACAGACGGATACAGTGAGTGGATGGAAAACATGAGCCGTTTGTCGTACCAAGACAAGCGTAAGATCAAGTCGAAGCAGGCCGAGAGATCAAACATCAGTACGGTGCCAAAGGTGGTGAAGCAGAAGAGAAAGCAGCGACAAGAGATGATTGCCGCTTCCAAGAGAAGAAAGGAGCAAGCTAACGGGGAGTAGCCGGTACTTAGGGATAATCAATGCATAGATAGAGAAAGCGTAGGCAAGAGGTGGCAGTCTCCACTTTATCAATTACACTTCCCTACCCACTAATTACACTTCCCTATCAATTCCTCTTGTTACTTCTCCCCTCCAATTCTACAGTTGATCTGAATATAAGAATATATTACCGTCTAGGAAAACCCAATTATACAAAGCTAGATGCAGAAAGATACAGAAAGCGCCGCCCTCGGGCTAACGCAACCGCTACCCAGTCTAGTGGTGCTCAGCGTGAGCAACAGGGTAGCCGAACAAAGATCTTCTGCCAATGATCTCGCCCACAGAGAAGAAAGCCAAAACGTGAACAGAGTAAATACCCAACTGGGACAAGTTCTGCTTGTTTGGCTGGAATTTGGTGGCAGCCTCCAAAGCAGCCTTCTGCTCAGCAGGAGTCTTCAAGAACTTGACAAAGTTGCTGTAAACCTGCTTGAACTGGGCCTGGGATGGTGGAGCAAGACCTTCGTTCTTGTAGACAATCTTGCCGACCTCGGCACCAACCTTACCCCAGTAAACAGCGCAGTTGGCGAGCTGGGTGGATTTGGTGACGGCACTGTTGAAGAGGCCGGTGGCCTTGGACACGATAGCAGACATGGTTTGTAGGTGTTGGTTTGGTGGATTATCGAGAAAAGGTTCAGGTCTCGGGACGGTTTTTTTCACTTTGTTGTGGGCCAATAGTGTGGGCTCGTTGGGGTGTGTGCAGGAGGCTTGGGGTAGGTAGAAGTCTACACCGGCAATTTGAAGTAAAATGGATATGTTTTTTGTTTACGTGGATGAGGAGAGTTCAGGGATTGGATTGGTGTTTTTTGGGCTGTTTTTGAGGTCGTTTAGGTGGTTTTGGCGGAGGGTTGTTTGGCCATAAATGGCTGCGAAATCCGTGGCTGCAAAGCCATAACCAGCAGTGGAGGAGAATGAATGAATGGGAGAAGAGAGTGGTGGTGAGAAATTGGGGAAGTCGGGAAGTATTTATATGTGTTGGAAGGGAGTGTCAAGTTTTTTGGATTTTGTGTTTTCAGGAATGGGAAGATGTAAGTGGTTGGTTGTAGCTGTTTAAGACGTGTTTACCATAGTAAAGTGAGAAAGACATAACAGTAGGAACACACAATATCACTACAGTACCTCATTTCCCCTTGTTTCTGGTTTTCTTTTTATTCCAAAAGTACATTAATTTTACATCCTTATATCAGAACCACGTTAAACCGGTCGGGCCATACCATTGGCGCCACAAGACTCCACCCATAGAGCACGTAGCAGAACCACGAACTGATGATTTTGATCCAACTGGAGAAGTATGTTCTGCCGACGGGAATGAAGTCGCCCACGTCGTCTTGCTTGACGTTGACTGTGAGCAAAGTAGCCACGTACTGAGTGGCTAGGAAGAAGATAATGTGGAACAACGTGTAGTTGTACTTGACCAGATTCTTCTCGTCACTTGGACCATTGACTCCACTGTCTTCGTCGTAGAGATCAACTTGTTGAAGGGCGCTCTCAGGTAAGGACCCTTCGTTGACGGCTTGTTGAATGGCTTCGTATCTCATTTGGTTTCTTTCGGAGGGCTGAGAAGAAATGTGGTGTTCAGAGCCAGCAGAACCTTCAGTATCAAAGAAAGAAGAGTTAGCAGCTCTGGTTGTGGTGTAGGCCAACGCAACAAACGTAAAGAGAGCACCCAAAACCACACTCAAAGTCCTGGTTCCCTTGGATCTGACGAGTGGATTGCACATCTTGTCATCTGGCTCCGAAACAACAGCACTAAGCACTAAGTAGGTACAGTAAAAGACAACCATAGATGCTTGGGCCAAGCCAGCGTTTGGGTTCAGTTCCTGGATGCTCTGGTTGACAGACATTCCAGAAATAATCAACGAAAGAATAAGGTTAATTGTGATGGCAGCCTGGTTCATGCTGCATCCCTTCATGGCGAAAAACACGTACATAACGATAGTCAATACGATACTGGCAATGTACATGCCCAAAGTGCCTCCAATAAGAAGCTTCTTCCACAAACCAGCATTATACTCATCTTCACCTGTAAGTTCCTCGAGCTCAATCTTCTCCAAGCACTTTTCTGCCCAAGCATGAGCAAAATCCACAAGCAAAACCAAGCCAATGCCCAAGAAAAGCGTGGAAAAGATAATGGCAATGTGGTTACCGTAAAACACGAAAAACGAATCTGGAATAAGCACAAAGTTGATGAAAATAAACAGAATCCACGTAAGAATCTTGATTTTCCAGCATCCGTTCTGAATTACCGCCCTAGGGTTCAGCGTAGACCGTACATTGACAAGAAGCGCAGCCAAGATAAGGTGCAACGTTCCCAAGGCCAAGTTGATTCTATAGACGGAACTAAAGCTGATACACTGTTTCCCGTCGGGTCCACATCGGTTATTGATAAACCCAAAAGTCGCCTTTTCAAGTCTGTGCACGATAAACGGCGAAAGAGCAATCCACGAGATGATGGAGTTGATAACAAGAATCAAGCCATAGGTGATTCTAGTCATGATAGCCGAAGTGAACGTTCCGCCAATCAGAGAGCAGAACGCAGAACACGCAGCAGCTCCGCAACACGAAGCCACCGTCAGCGCTCCTGCTAAAGGTAGGGAGACCAAAGCGCCCATAGTGAGTGGAAAAGTGAAGGTGTAGTTAAATGTGGAGATGATAATGTATGGTGGTGCGAAAGTAGAATTGGTGACCAAAGATGAGTTGGAAGGGAAGTTGAGGGGAGGCGATGGGATGGAGAAATTAAGGGCTGGGTTTTGTAGAGGTGGTTTTGGAGGGGAGGAATTTTCAGTTTTATAGGGTTTGGAGGAAAACTGGGTTTTTGGCGGTGGGTTGTTGGTAATTGGTGTTTTGTATGGGAAGTGATAATGGCTGCGAAAATGGAGAACATGGGCTGGGTTTCAGGAAAGGGAGATAACAAGTAAGAGGTAATGGATGGAAATAAATGGAAAGGTAAGTGGGGTGAGTTGGAGAAGGAGTAAATAGAAAAGAAAGTCAAGGAAAAGGAATTGCCGGATAGGAGCTGGTTTTTGGAGGAGCTGGGGAGGGATATATTGTATGGTGGCTACTGGTACTATGGTTAGAGAAGGTGGACAATTGACAATACCATGTGAGTTGGATTATAGAAACAGAAATTGCATATTTATCAATAGTGAAGTTCTGTTGATTGATAAATTTTAAAATATAGTAAAATTAGAGTTAATTACTGGAAATTACAGTGGATGTCTTGTTGCTGGTGGAACTGTAAATGGCTGCGAAAAACCAGTGTACTACTGGAAGCCAGTATGATCAACACAGAAGTAGCAGTTTAATTAAAATGAACATACAAATAAAGGTTGTTTCAGAAGACCATCTTAACTGGAATTCTTAAGTATTAAATTATTCTTTTAATAGAATACTGGTCCCTAGACAGACCTACTTGGCGGTACCAGATTCTCACTAGAAGAGTGAAACCATGAACACTTTCGTCAACCTTTCTCAAAAACCCAACTTCTCATGTAATCCTCTTATACCTTTACAACCACCCACTTACCCATTCCATAACATCTCTTCCCGTTGGGCTACTTCCATCTCCATGGTTGGTTCCACCTGGCACCCGTGCACCGCACTTACTACCGGCCTCATCAGGCTCATCACTGGAAATCTACTCCATTCACCTAACCCACCATTCCCTTCCATGTCGTTCCGTAAAAGATCCGAACCACTTGTGCCTGGACGTGGTATACCAAGAGGTTCGCCTACGGTTCCTGGCAGGGCGCCTCTTGCTGGCCGTGCACCTCCAGGAGCCGCTTTGGGTAGAGTTCCAGCTGCTGCCACACCTAAGAAACCAGAAACTAGAGACATTATTGCTGAAAATCCAGGTGTTAGACCATCAGTGTCCAATTCGGAACCTACGGTTTCTACTGGATGTCCTGATTTGGACAAACTCTTGATCCACCTGGGTCTTCCATTGGGCCATTCTCTTATCGTTGAAGAATCAGGCACCACAGATTATTCATCTGTTTTACTACGAGCATTTGCCGCCCAGGGTATCATTCATAGCCGTTTGGAGAAGGGCAAGGATCATTGTCATGTCATTGCTATTGGTGTTCCAGCCGCTTGGGCTAACAACTTGCCTGGCGTCTATAAAGGCAGCAGCAAGGACCAAAAGAAGGCTCGTATTGCTGCCGACTCTTCCAAAGTCAGTGTGCTGAACATGGCAGACAAGGACTTGAAGATTGCATGGAGATACGGGTTGAAGAATCAAAACAACCCGGAAGAGGAGCCTGAGACCCCAGATTCCCATCTTGAGAATTATACTACACAGTTTGACATTACTCAGCGTCTTATTCCTGGAGCCAGCCCTCAGGAGATTTCGTTTGTGCCGTTACTGAACCATTTCCAGAGCGTGGTGGCGCAGATCAAAAGCATCATTCAGTCCCAGCTCGAGAACCTGCCTCTGAAGGTTATCAGGTTAGTGATGCCCAGTTTCCTCAACCCATCACTTTACCCACCTCAAGCATCAGCATCCACATTTATCATTCCATTTTTCCATTCCTTACAGTCTCTTTTGAGACAGTACCAGCTGAACGTTGCGTTGATAGCGTCTTTGCCTCTTGATTTGTATCCAAGAGGAAGTGTCCTTACACAGTTTTTCGAGCTGCTTGCGGATGGTGTTGTGCACCTTCAGCCATTCAACCGTGACATGGAGTTGCTTATAGAAAAGGCGTACAAGAACGAGCCTTCAAAGATCCAACAAGGGTTTGTTAACATCATAAAAGTGCCAATACTCTCCGCCAAGGGTATGATGATGATTAGAAACGGAGAGTACGCTTTCAAGAACGGCCGCAAGAACTTTGAAATCGAAGAATGGGGCATCCCCGTTGAGGATGATACCCCAGACGACCAACAACAAACAACACAGAACGTCGACTTCTAACCCTTGGAAGCCTTATCCTTCTCCACCAACACCAGCACATCCTCCAGAAGTTTCTCCACAACCCTACGAAGCTGTGCCAACTCCTCAAGCGTCCTGTTTTGTGTTTCCTTAGTGTCTCTAAGCTGAGTAGCTGTGGTGGTAAACGTTGTGGCTACCTTATCAAGAGCACTAGCCATCTGGGCAAGAATCTCCTGTGTCAGCGGAGCATCTTCAGTGGTAGCCGATGTGGACGCTTTAGGAACATCCGAAAACGTCACCGTGTGTTTCCTAGGACTAGACTGTGGTTCCTCCACCTTCTGCCGTTTCTCTCTGAAGCCCTGTTCCAATTGGGCAATCTGGCGTCTTCTATACGGTGAGCCGCTTCTTCTGATTGGCGAAACCGATTTCAGCAATTGCGGAGGTGATAAGTTTTTCCTTGGCGAGTCCATTGAAAAGAAGTGGTAGGTGAATTCAGAGATCAGTCTGTAGATGTGTTGCTGCAGAAGATGATGATGCCTGTGCGTAAGCGAAACAAACGCGGTCCATGAGATGCCATACTGGTTTTTCGCAGCCACCAGAGTTGGTGGTGTTGGAGGTCAGGAGGTCAGGAAGGTTTGTTTTTGGTAAGAGGTGTTTGGTTTTGGTGGTTGGCTGGAAATGGAAGATTCAGTCGTGTGACGTGGGGAATTTGGTCGTGTGCAGAAAGTGGTGGTGGTGGTATTTGGCATGAGTTGGACAGAAGAGATAGGGTTCTGTTAAGTGGGCTCTAAAGAAGAGGAAAGAAAGAATGGAAGAAAAAAAAGTTGCAAAAGGAGCAAGAAACTGAAGTTTTCTTCAATGGCAATCCACTTGTTGAAACTTGGTTTTCTCAGGTCCCCAGTTTATCTGAATTGACCTGTTAATGGTATATCCCTTAGAGATGGACCACCTCACTCACATCCAATTCACCCAAACCAGCTTCCACCAAACCTGACGCCTCAGTTTTCCAAATTCCAAATTCCCCCATTAATCAAACGAATCTGATTATCCCATCTTACCTTCCTTCACCTTCTTGCATTGACCTACATCTACCCAGCCAGTGCATTTCCACACCACACCACTTTCGCCAAACCACAACAAACCTCCAATTTCAACCAACCCCCCACAAATACACAAAATCCATAATTCGACCTTCTCCTTTATTTTTACTTAACCTCTGTGGAGCTTATCTGGGGGGACCCTAGGGGGACGGCACTAGACCCGTGCACCACAACACTACCAACCCTCCCATATACCACACTCTCCCAGTAGACATCTTTTCCATATACAACCACTAATAGTATACACTTTCCCCTATGAACTGGTTGCTTTCGGTGCTACTAGCTGCAATCCTCGCAGCGTTTACTAATGCATTTGACTGTTCTGTGAAAGAGCTCCAGAGCTACGACCTCAAGGCCTTGAAAGGCGTCTACACATCGTCCAACACCAAAAAAACGCCTCCGTCCGAGTCTACCGTGGAATGGCTGATTGGCGTGTGTGAGGATCTTGGACTGGTGCCTGACTGCTCTCCAGATGCTGATGTTTGTGGAAAAACCACTGTGAAGAACAACGGCAAGAGTATGTTGACTGAGGTGTTTGAATTCAAGTTCACGCCTTCTACTATCGTTAAGACCTTGGGCGACGAAGGCAAAGAAGGTTTTGCTGTGGAGTACCATAACGTGGAATGGAGCGACCAGACCATTAATGCTAATGTTTTCTTTAAGTGTGTGGATGCAAAGGATGCCCAGAAGGAGTTCGAGACCCGCTGGGAGAACAACTTGCTTCTGGCCACGTTGAAGACCGATAAGGCGTGCTTGAAGTCGGAGAGAAAGCCATCTGATGGCGGTAGAGATGATACTGGCGAGTCGTGGGGCTGGTTTACATGGATTTTTATCTTCATGGTTCTTTTCCTCAGTATCTATATTATTGGCGGCGCGTGGTTCCAGTACAACAAGGGCAACTCGATTGACTTTCAGTCTGCATTGAAGGAGGTGTTGGAGAATTTCGTTGATCTTTTGAGAGGGTTGCCGGTATTTATTAAGGAGATCATTGAGAAGTTCACGAGGAACAACAACAGAGGCGAGTACAGCGCAGTATAAGCGGTGGCCCAGCGACCCATCATATATATGTAGAATACAACATGCTTCGATGGTTTTGTAGGACGTGGGGGGATGGTGAATGGCAGATAACGACACCAGAGGCCAATATGAAAGACACACCAGGGACCCAGAATGGGATGAAGGCCAAGGAGAAGAGGAAAAGAATAGAAAGACATTTAAAGAAAAAAAAAAAAAAAAGCATTAAGCAGTGCCAGCTAGCGAAGACATCTACACTTCCTCTGCATCACCATATGGTATCTGTATAAGCTTACTACACCATAGTACCCCAGCCAATCCACCACTTTCCATCCCAATTCCCCAATAAACCCACTTTACATAAAACCAGGGCCCCAAACTCCAATCCCAAACAATCTCCATCCACTTACATCCATCCACTTTACACCTCCTCCCTCCAACCACCTCTTCCTGGTCTTATCTAAGTGGCTGCGAAAAACCATCCACTCCAACCACCAGAACCACCAACACCATCCACCACTTTTCCACCAAATGCCCCCAAATCCCCAAAAAACTCAATATTCCGTATCATTTTTATCTCCCTTCCTCCACCCACCCCTTCTCTTCCCTCCAATTGCTCTCGCCCCACCCAAAGTCACCACCTCCCTTGGACCCATCTGAGTCACCTGCACTGGCGTCTTTTGACTCTCGCAGCCATCGAAATTCAACCTCCACTCACCTTCCCAACCCCAACTCATCTTCTACCCAAATGGCCACCGTGACCGCCAAAATCAAGGCGTTGGAGCCTGGCGAGCGTTTTTGCTCGTTCGAGTTCTTCCCGCCGAAAACTGACGCCGGTTTCAGAAACTTGCTAGCTCGTTTGTCCCGTATGATGGCCCTCAACCCGCTCTTCCTTACGGTTACTTGGGGAGCCGGTGGATCCACGGCAGAAAAGTCGTTGGATTTGGCTGCTACGTGCCAGAAGGAGCTTGGTGTGACGACGGTGTTGCACTTGACTTGTACAAACACGAATAAGGAGATTATAGAGGATGCGCTTAAGAGAGCTAAGGAAGCAGGCATTAGGAATATCTTGGCTTTGAGAGGTGATCCGCCTAGAACCGAGGAGTACTGGACGCCTAACTGTGATTTTAGTAATGCCGTGGACTTGGTGAGGTTTATTCGCCAGGAACATGGCGATTACTTCTGTATTGGTGTTGCTGGGTACCCAGAGGGCCATGTGGAGGGAGCTGACGCTTCTGCCCAGGACCCCAAGAAGGATTTGCCTTATTTGATTGAAAAGGTTGAGGCTGGTGCTGACTATGTGGTTACACAGCTTTTCTTTGATGTGGATAAGTTTGTGGCGTACGAACAGCTACTCCAGGATACGCCTCAGTTGAAGAACATCGTGCTAATACCCGGTATTATGCCAATCACCACGTACCGTGTGTTTATCAGGGCCACGAGGTTGTCGCATGCTAGCGTTCCAAAGAACATTTTGGACGATTTGGATGCTCATATCAACGATGACGATATGGTGAAAAATATCGGTTTGGACGTTGTCACGAAAATGATTCTGGAGATCGATTCTCGTACGAATGGCCGTGTTAGGGGGTACCATTTCTACACGCTTAATTTGGAAAAGGCCGTGGCTTCTATTATTAATAGACTGCCTGTTTTGCAGAACATGATTCCTCACAACAAGCTGGTCCAGCATGATGACGCTATTGCTTCTGATTCAGATGATGATTTGCCAGCAGGCACTGTTATTCCAGCTAAAAACGGCAGAAGAAAGTCTTCTGTGAACGAAAACCAGCTTGCTTCGGCTGATGCCATGGACGCCAAAAGAGCTTTGGTGTCTAAGGCTCTCTCCAAGGACCCCAAGGCTATTGTCGATATTTCCACCGGTAAGGGCGTTTTGGGCAAAGACGCCACATGGGATGAGTTTACCAACGGTCGTTTTGGTGACTCCAACTCGCCTGCTTACGGTGAAATCGACGGTTACGGTCCAAACTTGAAGCTTCATTCCAACAAAGAGGTCCAAGAGACTTGGGGCGAACCAAAGTCTACTGCTGACGTTACCAAAATTTTCGTTGACTACTTGTCCAACAAAATCACCGTTTTGCCTTGGGCAGACAGTGAACTTTCGCCAGAAACTGCATTGATTCAAGAAGAGCTCTTTGAGCTTAACGAAAGAGGCTGGTTCACGTTGGCCTCGCAGCCTGCCATCAACAGCTGCTCCTCCCGTGACAAAATCTTAGGTTGGGGACCTCCAAACGGACACATTTTCCAAAAGCTGTTTGTGGAATTCTTCATTCCTAAGAAACAGTGGGAGGAAGACTTGTTGCCTCGCATTTCGACCCAAGTGGACGACAAAACCATCACATACTACTGTGGAGACGCCAGCGGCCACATCTCTCTGAACTTGCCCATCAGCACAGGTAAAAACAGCAACACCAAGTCTGCTGTCACATGGGGTGTGTTCCCGCTGAAGGAGGTTTTGCAGCCAACCATCATTGACTACGAGTCTTTCAAGGCATGGAACGAAGAGGCATTCTTGTTGTGGCTCGAGTGGGCCCGTTGTTACAGAAAAGATAGCGATTCTTACAAGTTGTTGAACAGCGTGTACAACGACTACTACTTGGTCAGTTTGGTTCACCACGACTTCACCGACGAGTTTGTCTTGTGGACCACTTTACTCAGCGACTGACTACCCACCGCCCACTACAAGCTTTAAAACAACCTCTAGCTCCCGTTGAGCTGCCGTTCCATTATATCTATATATTTCTCCACGACGCCGGCATTGAGCTGTCTCAGAAGAGACGAGCTCTCGTCGTGACCCAAGTACTCGCAATGGCGTACTGTGAGGCATATCACTCCATCATACACTTTGGCGCCTGGCTTGATAACAAGCTTCCCGCCCAAAGGCATCGGTAGCGGTGTGCCCGTGTTGGACGCCTGTGGATGAAGAAAAGGTAACTTGTCGATTTCAATGCCGTAGAAGTAGTTATCTGCCGCGTCTCGAAGCGTGAGTTTGAACGTTGCAGAAGCAGACATCTTCTTTTCCATTTTCTCCTCCAAGGACTCGTCCAAATCAATGCCATAGATCACTGGTCGGCTCACGTGCTCCATCCGTTCAAACGGTGCTCTGTTAGGATTATGGTAGTACTTCCATTCCTCCAAGCTCTTCTCTTTAGACTCAGACACGTCTTCAATAAACACCACAAAACACGTCACGGGCTGTGTAAGCGATACTTCACCCTTGCCAGCGTACTTTTCAGCGTTAAATAGTCCCTGTTCGCCAACCACCATTCTAGGTAGTAGTAGTAGGTAACTGGTGATAATGCGGAGGGCATATGTCTATCAGAGATGCAAAATCAGTGCACCTACTCTTAGCAACCACAAGAAGTTCCCAGCATTTCCCCAAAAAAAGCCTGTTTTCGTCCTATAAAGAATGTCCTCGCTATTTGTGCCCGAAGAAGAGGAGTATGACGATAAACAAGAAACGCTTTTTGTTCCTGAAGACCAGGAAACTGTGAGTGTCAGTGAAGGCTCTACAGTACCACCACGCAAAGAACCCCAGCCAATTGACCAGGAAGAAGAGTATGTGGAGCCAGAAAACCAGCCTGAGATCTCTGCTGAACGTACAAAAGCTTTATATGAGCGTACTATGAAGCAAACAGAGGAGGGCTCTATACCTGTGGTGAGAGAAGAGAAGGCAGAGGTGACTGCTATATATGAAGCCAGAGAAGTGTGTTGCATGCTACCGTTGGGGTTTTACCAGGAGATTGTGGAGACGATGTTGTCTAAAGATGGGCTTTTGATATTGGGGAGGGGGCTAGGATGTGAGGTGATCACTGCTAACTTGTTGTATGCTCTTAGTCTGCCTTCAGTGACGCTAGAAAGCGGGAAAACGACTACCAAGAAGAAATCGTTGGTGATTTTGCTTGGTGCTGGCGAGGAGGAAATTGTCAAATTGAACGATTTGCTTGTAGAGCTTCGCTGGATGAATGCTGCTGCAGGGAACGAAACTTCAGATAACGACTGGGACCCTGCATTGCGTGTGGTTGGAGGTTCAGATTTGGCTAATACGAATAAGCGCCGGGAAATGTACATGAAGGGAGGCGTGCTAAGTATCAGTCTGAGGATTTTGGTGGTGGACATTCTTTCTGGGATTTTGAAACCACTGGACATTACGGGGTTCTATGTGCTTCACGCAGAAAGAGTCAGAGAAACGTCGAACGACTCGTTTATTATTAATTTGTACCGTGACGAAAACGATTGGGGGTTTGTCAAGGCTGTTTCTGATGAACCTGAGTCTTTTACGGGCTTCACTCCACTTGCTAACAAACTTAAGTTTCTTCGATTGAGCAATGTGTTTTTATGGCCTCGGTTCCATGTGGAGGTCACTTCGCTGTTGCTTTTGAGGTCTTCCAAGCTGCAGAGTAAGAGAAGCACGGTGACAGAAGTCAATGTTAAGTTATCTGCCAAAATGACCAAGATTCAGTCTGCCATTCTTTCGTGTTTGACTGCATGTCTTCAGGAACTCAAAAGGCATAATCCAACTTTAGATACAGAATATTGGGACGTGGAGAACTTGCACGATACAGATTTCGTTACACGAGTACGACTTTCTCTTGAGTCCCAGTGGCATAGAATATCCTGGACTTCCAAGCAGCTCGTTTACGACTTGGGCACGCTTAAGGAACTTCTTTCAAGTCTTCTTCATGACGATTCGTTGACGTTTTATCAGCGTGTACAGGGTATTGTCGATACGAATATCCGTTCTTCTGGAGCAGGAACTATGAACGCTACCACTATGAGTCCTTGGCTTATGATGGATGAAGGTACTACCATTACTGCTTTTGCTAAAGAGCGTGCATTGGGTAGAGTAACTGTGGCTACAGACGATGCCGAAAATGGCCTGGGAGCTGTAGACAAAGCGAATGGAAAGACTCAGGTCTATAATTTGGAAGAGCTTCCTAAGTGGGAGCAGCTTGTCATTCTTGTGGACGACATTATACACGAAAGGTCGATCGATAATACAAAAACTGAAGGGCCCATTTTGATCATGTGTGCTTCGACCAAGACAGCACAGCAATTGAGCTCGATATTGTCCAAGGCCAAGAAGAAGGTCCATGAGCCTACGGGGCGTAAATGGTTCTCATGCAAAGGCTACATGGTTGGAAAGCTTCGTGAGTACCTTCAATGGAAAGAGCTTATTTCATTGACAAAACGACTCAACACAGAGTTATCAGAGAAGCCTGCTGAAGACAGCAAAGAAGGAACACCTGAAACTAGCACTGGTGACGAACAACTTAATACCAGTAAGACCTTTTCAAGAGGCAATAACGCTCCACGAAGCAAAAGAAGAAGAACTCGTGGCGCCGCTGCAGTTGCAAATGTGGCACGGTTGTACTCTGGAAGTGACTACGAAAAGAACGCTGGAGCAGTCGATTTGGAGCAAGATATCATTGATCGTTTGGAACAAGACGTCAAGGAGGAGTACGACAGTAATGATGAGCTCGAGGAAGTGGAGATCGTGGAAAATGAAAAAGAACACGAAGAGGTTACAGAAGATAATCTCGATAATCCTTTTGCCAATCTTGAAGCACCTCATGTGAGAACCGCTGCAATTGACTTGGAGCATATTGAAAAGTACAACCAGGTTATCATCGAGACATACAACGAGAAAACCAACGAGACGTTGCTCCAAGAACTCTGTCCGCTGTACATCATCATGTACGAGCCAGACCTTGCTTTTATCAGACGAGTGGAAGTGTACCATGCAACGAACCCTGCGCTTGATCCCAAGACATACTTCATGTATTATGGAACATCAGTGGAGGAGCAACGCCATTTATTAAGGATCAGAAAGGAAAAGCTGGCTTTCACTAGTCTTATTCGAGAGAAGGCCAACCTTGGAAAAAGGTTCGCCACAGAACAGGATAACTGGAAGTTCCACCTTCGCAAGAAACAAGTGGTTAATACCAGAATTGCAGGTGGAGCTCAGTTCCGTACAGAGGAGGATGAAATGAGAGTTATTGTGGATTCCAGAGAGTTCCGGTCGTCTTTACCCAATTTGCTTTACAGAGTCGGTATCCAGGTGATTCCGTGTATGCTTACAGTTGGTGACTATGTCATATCGCCCAAAATCTGTGTGGAAAGAAAGTCTATTCCTGATTTAATTGGATCCTTCAAGAGCGGCAGACTTTACCAGCAGTGTGAACAGATGTTCCGTCACTACGAGATCCCAGCGTTATTAATTGAATTCGACGAGTCTAAGTCCTTCTCGTTTGAGCCATTTGCAGAGATACGTCCACCGGGATTCAAAGCTACCAACCCGATTGCCAGCAAAATCTCCAAAAAAGAGATCCAACTGAAAATCACCGAACTCCTCATTTCCTTCCCAAAACTCAAAGTCATCTGGTCGTCTTCCCCCTACGAAACCGCCCAGATCTTCCTCGAGCTCAAAGCCAGTCAGAAAGAACCAGACGTCGAAGAAGCCCTAGCCAAAGGCGTCAACCCAGCCATTTCCACCAGTGGCGGGCCTCCAATGTACAACGACGACGCCATTGACCTCCTACAAACCATTCCAGGAATCAACAACGTCAACTACACTACCGTGATTCTGAAAGTGAAAAATATGCGAGACTTTGTGGCTCTCTCCAAAACACAGTTCACCGAAATGCTAGGAGACGAAAACGGAAACAAAGCATACAACTTCATAAACCGTTTTATCAGATAAGAAAAAAAAAACGGCTTCATCGGTTATTTAATATTTCTCACCTTCTCGGACTGCTTTTTATAACTTGCAGCAATCGAAGCTCCCCGCGTTTAGGCATATTTACCTTTCGTCAAAATGGGTGCGAAATGTTGATGCACCCTGTCATCTCTTGAACTGACTTTTGAGTTACAACTGAAGAATTTGACACTCTAACGCTTGGAAAATACACCTGATGTCTCGAAACAGAGTCCCAACGGGGCCAAGGTTTCAGCCTTTGTCCTCGGATAAATCCAGCAAGGCCAAGAGCAGGTACCTTGAGTTCAAGTACTTGTATTTCCAGGTGCAGAAGCTCATTAACAAGAAGGTGGTGCTTAGTTTGAAGTCGGAGCAGTTGCGGACGCCCGAGATCAGAACGGCGCTTGTCAAGCCTATAGTGCAGCGGTTGATTGAGGTTTCGAGGTTATCGTCGTTGAACGCTGTGTTTAATGCTCAGGGTCCATCAGCCCACTTTGAAATCTTCGATACCCCACAGTTTGCTCCGTTTAGTTATGGTTCGGTTCAGGCAGAGGGACAGCAGGGTCTGAGCTCGCTGCAACATCCTGACTCGTTGTCGATTAACCTTATCTATGTGCTCTTGCTTCTTCGGTATGAGTATATGATCCAGATGGAGAGCAACTTTGTCATGTACGACTTGCTTTTGACGAAAGCGAATGTTTGTGAGTTGTTGGCGATTAGAATGCTACGGGAGTACCGTTCGGCCAGCCGTATCAACTTGTTGTTTGTGAATCCCATGGGCCATCGCCATGGAAATGACGAGACTAGGGTGTTGAAGGACACGAAGCATTTGGATAGTTTTAACACCATCGAGCTTTCTGTGCTTACGAAATCGAAAAAGTTTTTATCCCAGCCGGTTATTATTCATATCATGGAAAGGATATATAATGGAGAGCTTATTGTCATGGACCATGCTGGCGGTCACGAAAATAGCTGGCTTGATATTTTGGGCGGAACCAACGGCTCCAAGAAACGAGACTATGAGCTTCTGACTGTTCAAGAAGAATCGGAAACGGAAACTGAGCCGGAGAAGAATATCGTGGACTACAAGTTCAACAAGATCTCCTTAAAGAAGGTGGTTTTCAGGTCTAACATTGTTCCCAAGTACCAGGCCATCGTCATCAACTTAAAATATGCATTTCTTACGTTTTTGTTTTTTGTTCTTGTGCTCCGACACAAGCAAAGCTGGACGGTGGAGGTTGGCGAGACGATCTACAGCAAGCTCTTCTCCATGATGTTCTGGACGGTCGCTCTTAGCTTCAACTTCGACAACTTGCAGAAACTACTTCACATTGAGTTTAAGTTTCTTAAGAAGATAGTGTGGACTTACTTTGACTTATTGGTTGTGGCACTCATTGACATATCCTTCATCCTTCGTGTTCTCCTTGGACTTGGGAAGATTGGGCCTGCGGTTTACTATAATTTCTTCAGTTTGATTCCAATTTTGCTTTTCCCCAGAATGCTTTCTGTGTTCAACAACTATGAATTCTTCAACATGATGATATTATCGTTCAAGAAGATGTCGTTGTACATGATTGCCATGTTTTCGCTTTTCGTGTCGCTCATTTTCGGCTTTTTCTTGTGCTTCATCAGTCTTACCATTGATCTCACGGTTTATGAAGTTGCATTCAGCATGTTAAAGCTATTCTTTGGTTTCACACCGGCTGTCTGGGATAACTGGAACAGATACAACACCTTGGGCAGAGTGATCCAACTTGCATACTTATTCTTGGTACAGTTCATCGTGGCCACAATACTTGCGATTGTGCTTAGCAATGTCTTTACCGAAGTCACTCTCACACACAAAGAAGAGTTTGAGTACATCAAGACGACCAATCTTATCATTTACCTCAAATGGGGTAAGTTGAACTACTCCAAGCATCACCACAGATCGCCATTCTTGGTTATCTTCAATGGACTTGTCAGCATATTTAAGTTACCAATCATCAGCATGATATACTTTTACGAGATTTTGGTGAAGGACAACAAGCGTCACTTACAGAGGCAACAACAAGACCTTAAGCATTTTACATTTTTGAGCAAAGAGCATGATTTTTACGCCGATAACGAGATGATGATGGCAGGACAGGCCCACGACGAAGACTCTGATGTCAGTACACTTATGATGAACTCCAGAAGAGGCTCCCACTTTGCCATGCCCCAAGGGACCGGTGGCATTGGCAGAACCATATCTCACGCATCCAACGCAGTCATCTTTGGAGCACAAGAAAATGAATCTGGGCGGTCCAATGCTACACCGATTCCACGTCACCTTATTTCGAAGTACTCCATCAACACTTTGGGTGGGTTGAGAAACGCTTCAGAAGATCTGGCCTTTTTAGAAGACTTCTTGGGCAAGAGGTATGGAAACTACGGTAAAACACGTCGCAGAGCGAGAAGCAGAGATGTTAGCGGAGAAAAGAAGACCAAAAAGAAGCTGCAAAAGAGCGATTTGGCTGCGGTAATGAACAAGCTCAACCAGCTTGAAGCATTGATTTATGGAGGTGGAGAACGGAGATCAAGTCAAGACTACAGAGGTCCCGAGGGCATGTACGACTTGACTGAAGCACTGGGCACCGAAATGATGGATAGTGATCTAGGAAGCGACACCGACGACAGCGTCTATTCGAAAGACCTGTTCGGTACGATTTAAGTACTTGTCATGATACCTAACAGAAAATATTTAATTGCATACCAGAATGACTATAAGTGTAGAGCACTGTAAAGCATTTGGATGAAGTCACAGTAAGGGGACAACTTGTCTACTTGTTATATGTTTTAAGGCATTCTTCAGGCTGTCTTTAAGAGTAGGTAGGGCTTCTGGTCTTAATGTCTACATATTCTTCAGTAAAAGCAGTTTGTGTCCAAGACAAATAAAATGATTTAGTTCACCAATAAGTAGTGAATGAGTATAAATGCAATCTCCTATAAATTTCTTGTCTTTTAATTGAGCTTGTCTTCTTGTATGGACATTCTAGCTTACTGGTATGCCTCGGTCCAGCTGCGTTTCACAAACCCACACCAGTTCTGAATTACCCACCACCACTTTCTCTTCCACCAGCAAATTCCAAATACCAGTTTTATCAATATTAAAAGCCTTCAAAAACAAATCAGAATCGCCCTTTTCTGTCCCCCTGTTCCACGCCATGGTCTCGTGGTTTAGTTACTTCCAGTCTTACCTTGGACCAAAGGCCCCAGCGTACGAAGCAATCGACAGCCTTTCCAAGGAACAGTATGAATTATTGCCGGTTTACCCACCTCCCAGTTATCAGTCGCCGACAAACGGCCAGCCTCCTCTGACTCCACAACAGCCACAGCCATTATTTGACGACCCAGAGTCTTTGCAGCCAGTGCGCCAGAAGACCAAGAAGAAGAACTGGAAAGAAAAGTTTTCATGTTTTTTTGTTTGGGTATACTTCATCTACAGCCTTATTTTCCTTGCCCATTTGTTTCCTTCTACGAAGTTGCTGGGCCTTGCTTTGTATGAGAAAGAGGGTGGAACTACATGGCACGAATCCGTCATTACTGTCATTGACACTCTTGAGAGAGTTACAGAAGGGTCTACGAATAACGTCAAGGATTTGATTCCAGAAGGATGGCCTGCTAACGATACCGTTTACCAATTGTTTCCTTTCGGGATGTGCAAGGAAAGCCTGAACCATAAGGAATGTAAGTTGGGAAAGGGCCAGTACTTCATGGTTATCGATGATATTGGCGCTGAATTAGCTGAGGTAATTAACGTCGATGACAAGGAAGCATTTATTGAAGGGTGGAAAAATGGGTTCCGTTCAGCATATAAAGCAGCTCTTAAAAAGCTAGCTTTAGCTTGTCCCTCCGATGAATCCTCCGAGAACTTCAAGTGCTACAATATAACAGCAAAAGATGCACAGATATTGAAATTGCTAGACTCTCAGAACTTTGTGCCTTTTGCATTCGGCATAGTGTTTCTTGTCTGTACATTTACAAATGGATGCTTATTACCATTCCTCATCAATGCAAGAAACAAAGATAAGATATACTTTTGGGGATTTTTTTGGAGATGGCACTTGTTGCATCTGTAATGTCCATGGTTATTAATGATTGGTATACGGGTTGTCCGGCCGTGGTGCTTGGATTGGCAGTCTCTTCCGATGTCCGTCCTATCTTTCATTGGGTTAGCATTTCTTTGGTTGTCACACTGTGGGCTTTGGTATTTTATGTGGTTTATATGGTGGTTCCACAGATTGAAGAACAGCAATTGAGTCTAGTGGCTCGTTGAGACGTCCAGGTGGAGAGGAGTAATAGAAGAGTGTAATTCTGGTGTACTCGTAGTATTAGAGGGTAGTTTGAGGTTGCCAAAGGCCTTCGGGGGTGTTTCTAGTTTGTCGAATGCCAAAAGTGTAAAAGGTGTGTCTATGAAACGGCACTGTTGCACTCTGAGTTTATTTCATTGAATGGGGTTTACCATAGTGAGCCACTTTCCATGCCACTTTCCAGGGTTACTGATACTATCTGCCATGACCCTACTGGCTAGGTTATACCAGGAACAACAGTACTCTTAGGTCTGTATCGAAGGAAGGTAAGCATTTAGTGCATTATTAATGCCTTATGCTTTCAGTAGATCACAGCTTCCTCTGCTGGTACGCTACCCAGTCATGGCTTATACATACCATCAATGGAGCAAAAGAGAAGAAAATCAAGAACTTCAGTTTTCATCAAAGAATATATAAAAAAGCACAATTGAAGTAGATGTCAAATTCAGTTACAAATCCGATAAGCTGTCTACAATATGTTACCACTTTACCTGCCTTCAGTCCAGTTAACGAACCAACAAGCAGCAAGCTCCTTCTCCAACAACCTTTGCCAAATAAACTAAAACCCCATATATCAATCAATTCCAAGTGTTTCCTACCTCTACTAACCTTCCTTTATTCTTCCTTTATTCCTTCTTCACCTACCTAACTGGCCCTCCCAGTCCAGTCCAGCCCAGCAAAACACTCCTTCACCGCAATTCCTTATCTACCCAAAAAAACCACAATCCTTATCAAAACAAACCAATTCACGCCTTGCATATGTTAATTTCCTATTTCCCAGCCCCGTCCAGGGCAATATTGCTCGTACCAAAGCAGTACGAGCAAAAGTGGAAATGGCTGCGAAAAACGCTCTGTATGGCTCCAGCGGTGTTCAGGTAAGCCGGATTTCGGTGATTGCCATTACTAAGCCTAAATGAGGTGAAATTGGTGGGTGAAGGCGTCAGGGGTAGAAGGGGCCGATTAGATCACAGGAAATGTTTGTTTTGGGAAATTGGGTGGATTTGGAGTAGGAGGGTGGGAGTGGATGGAGTTTGGCTGGTTGTGGAGTGGGAAGGCTATGGAAGAGAAGGCAGGGGAGGCGGGAAGAATAGTGGGATTTTGGAAGAGACTGGAAGACCGTAGATTGACATTTTAATGGGTAGTGTTGTTTCAGGTTACGTAGAATGGGGACATTTGAAATGGCTGCAAATGGAGGGCTTCCAATGGCACTCAGAGGTACAAGTAAAGTACACTGACAAGGGGATAGTTAAGAGCTATTTACTTCTTGAATGTATCATTAAGCTTGAATAGACTGCCAGATTGTCTCTTGGTAGAAACATGCCTAACTGGAAGTATATCGGTCTGTATCAAGCCATGTCTATACCCTTCCTATGCTTGTACACTTCTTAGCTAACTCTATTATACTCTTTCTTTTTATCCTACTTTACTGCTCTTGAACTTCATCTATAAGTCACTTTTCTCCCAAGAAGTCAAACTTCGTCTTCCATACTTAGATTATCCCAGAGTACCCTAAAGTGCCAATTCCACCTTGACCTGCCTTTCACATGGCTCGCTTCAATACCCATCTACCTTCACTTTCCACTTGTTTCTTGGTCTGGCGTCCCCTCTCTTTGACGTCATTTCGAGAAACAAGGTTTCATAGTGGTTATTTAACTCCGGCCCCGAGTGTTATCAAACGGCCTTGTTCCACTCCATTGTTCGTAGACCCAGAAACACAGTCTCCTAATGGACCAGCCATTTGCAGCCACTCTACACTGGAAGGCCATTTCCAAGTGAAGCCGAGCTCTACCCTTCTCTGCTTTTTAAGCCTTCCTTTAGTTCCGTCTCGGTGCCTCAGGACCCCACTACTATTGGACTACTGCCATTTACATATACGCCTTACCTTCACATGGATCCCAGTTCACAATAGACTACGCTCTACCAAGGATCAAAGTCCAAGCGGATCCATTCATAGAAGTAGTTTTACAGATCCCAACCGGACTTCTGGTACCCAGAGGCTCAGGAAGTTCCCCAAGGCTTGGAGGCAGCCTGGGAGAAGACAAATATAATGTAGAAGTTCGAGATTCACTTTCCAAGCGAACCCAACGTTTTAGTTCAGTCTACCTCGATGCCACTGGATACTCCATCACTGAACCGTATCTGAAGAGGTATCTGGAAAAGAAAAGACAGAAATAAGAGCATTTGCAGCCAATTCGGTGTTTGCGAGCACGGACCGAAACGACGAATAGAGTAACCCAATCCGGACTCCCAGTGACCAGGGAACTCGAAGCCTAAGTAGAAGATAAATGGCAATTTGATAACAAACACTCGGGCCGGGTGGTGGGCATTTGCAGCCATTCCGGTGTGGATGGCCCACTCGGCTTCTTCACATGGGCATAGTGTACACATTGGGGCAAGAATGGAGAGTAGAAGGAGAAGAAGCGAACGGTATTGTGGGGAAGTCAGGAGGACCATTCCAGATACCATTTCATGAATAATCAATAGAACCTTGCCAAACGGTGTACTGTACGTCTGGGGCCATCCATCAGTAGACGAGCAACCCCAGCCATTTCCAGTAAACGAGCGGTCCCAGTGTTCTTCACCGAAACATCGAAAACAACAAAACCTGGCATGAAACGACCCAACGTCAAGTGCATCTTTAAAGTCCTTCAAATCGATTTTAATCTAAAACACTCTCCCCCTGCCTCTCCCTCTGCTTCCTCTCCCTCGTTTTGCACCCATTGGGAAAAAGAAACGCTGGGCCTGCCTAGACTGCCGATATGTGTGTCAGACAAACACATCTGGCGCCGATTCGCTACACTCCCACTCTTCACATGGTCCACTTAAACCCCCCGCCATTTCACCCTCCACCGCCCATTTCCAAAAAAAATTCACATCCCCATACTCCCCTCGCCCCCCTCAGTCCAGCCATACTATTCATTTTTTCCAGTCAAGTCTGCACCCCCTGAACAACTGTCCCTGCTGGAGCCTCTCGAGTGTCTGCCCTGCATGGCCCACCCAGCGCTGCCTGCCATCTGCCGTAGTCGCACATCCCACCTGCCAATCCCCCAATCTCTCCAGCACCAACGACCAACCAAACCCTCCACCAACTCTGCCAATAAACCTTCAAAAAAAAAGTGAACCTCACAAAAGGTGGAAATCACCGCCCTTTATATACCCCTGAGCTTCCCCGCTTTTTTTCTCCCCTCGTAGCCAATTACCATGACCCCCTTCTCGCCAGCCGCCGTTGAGTAATATCTGGCTTCCTAGTGGCCCGCACTCGCCAGGACCCCCCGCGACCACTCAGGCCAACCGTTTTCTCAGCAGCCGGCCAGAAACAGAAATCAGAGGCAGACTTGTATTTAAGCAGCCCACTTTCCCACAAAAACACATTTTTCAGTTTTACCTTTTCGGACTCATCAAAACGACTTTTTCATAAAACAAACTTCCCTTCCCCTTTAGATCAGTTTATCTCCGTGGACCCCTCGCGATTTGCTTATAGTCTGCTGTCTGCTGCTGCTGATTTTTTTTTTTTTTTTTCTCATCGGTTTTTCCCTGTTTGCAACTTTTTCCCTTTTCCCATGCCTCACAACACCTTGCCAGAGAACATGCCCCAGCTCGACGTGCCCAATAACCACATCCAGATTGGCGGCAGAAAGTCAAAGTTGGCGGTCATCCAGCTGGAAATCGTCAAGGCCCAGATAGAACACCACCACGCCAACTTGAACTGCTCGGTCTTGGCCCTTCTGACTTTAGGTGACAAGATCCAAAACAAGCCGCTTTATTCTTTTGGCGGGAAATCCCTTTGGACGAAAGAACTAGAGATTCTTCTTCTTGAGGCTGTGGAGGAGTACCCGAAATTGGACTTGATTGTTCACTCGTTGAAAGATATGCCTACGAATTTGCCTGACGAGTTTGAGTTGGGCTGTATTTTGGAGAGAGAAGACCCCCGTGACGCTTTGATCATGAAAAAGGGCCTGACTTACAAACTGCTTGCGGATTTGCCCAAGGGTGCTGTGGTGGGTACTTCGTCTATTCGTCGTTCCGCCCAGCTCTTGAAAAACTACCCTCATTTACGCTTCCAGGACGTCCGTGGTAACATTTATACCCGTCTCTCGAAACTTGACGACCCAGAATCCCCTTACGAGTGTCTTATTTTGGCTGCTGCCGGCTTGATCCGTCTCGGCTTGGAAGACCGTATCGACGTTGCTTTGGACGCTCCGGAAATGTACCACGCTGTTGGCCAGGGCGCCTTGGGCGTTGAAATCAGAAGAGACGATTTGGTCATTCAACAAGTTTTGAGCAAATTGGAGCACAAGCCTTCTTCTCTTCGTTGCACCGCCGAAAGATCGCTAATGCGTGTTTTGGAAGGTGGATGCTCTGTTCCCTTGGGTGTCCAGACAAGATATAACGAGGAGACTCAACAGCTTGATTTCAAAGGTATCATTGTCAGCCCTAATGGCGAGGAATACGTCGAGGGCGAGGTTGAGGGATTCGTCTCCAACAAGGCCGAAGCCGAGGAGCTCGGTGAACAACTTGCCGAGGTTTTGATCGCCAAGGGCGGCAAGGACATTTTAAACAGCATCAACTACGAAAAGATCAACCAGCGGCCGCTGAATGGTGCCTCGGGCTCCCCGACCGTTAACGCTATTTAAACGAGAAGCAGCTCCCGATGTTCCTTCTTTACTCGAGGAAGCTGACTATTTTTCGGCTTTCATTAATTGCATAACTCTGCACGACAAGCGACTTCCATCAGCTTGTTTCGTTCAAAAAGGGCTCCTGGCGACCCCTACATAGAGCCGGGCCTTAACTTGCATTATTGACTTTCTTCTATAACATTTATTTGGGATTCTTTAATTATGGAATCGTGTGTACTAATGACCCATCATGAAATTCTGATTTGTAGTTGTAAAGAGGGGCTAAGAAAGGGTCCTGTCATTGTTCACCTGTCAAATAAGGTTGACATGTCAGACCAACACAGGGCTAGACCAAGTCTAGTCTAGGCTGATACCTAGGCAGTAAAGAGAAGGTAGGGGGACAATACTAAGCAGCTTCACGATAAACAAATAAAGAAATCAATATTTTAAGCTACCTGAACGTGTTCGTGTTTAGACTATTGGAAATGGTGTTCCTTAGGTATCCACCTACATCTACATCTACACTCTAACCTACTTCCCTACCAGCCCATATCCATAACAACTTCCAATACCTTACTCCCTCAACCACTTACACCACGTCAAATATCCCCTAATATCGTCCCCAACGCCTATTTCTTCACCTTCTCTCAGTCCACCACCATGCCCTTACAACCACTTCGTATACATCAATGCCCTACCACCTTCTGCACCCCTTTAACCAACACTTCCATCCCATCCATCCCATTCCACCCATTCCACCTTTCGTCACTCCAGCCACCCTAATCCCAAATATCCATTCCTCCATTGGCCAGTCCTTTAATGCAACCAGTACATCGAGAAACACGCCATTTTGCAGCCATTCTTATGGACCCATACTGAGTGGCCAGAGTGGAATTTGTATGCTCCAAGCATTCCAATGGAAACACAAAAGCAGAACCCAAAAAAAACAACCGGATTTATCAGTTTCGGCTAATTTGCAACATTTCGGTAAAAACTCATGTTGTTCCTCCTAAATCCATTGCGTTGCTCACGCAACGAGAAAAACATCAATGGTGGGAGGAAGATGTGAATGGAGAAGTCACCGCTACTTTCACGAAAAAACAAGCAAAATTAAATTTGAAAAAAGGGTTTTAAAAATTGGATTTTCACGATTTCGAAAAACCTTTAATTTCTTGAAAATCTTGGAAACTCACCAAAATTGACCAACCTTCCAAATCTCTCTTTTATCGCTTTTTTCAAGTTATATGTGCCTCGTTTCTTTTACCTGTCTACGCATGGCGGCTGGACACGAATTTGTAAGCCGACTTAGCCGGGCCGAATGGGCTGGGACACTTCTTGGGATGTACGGGTTTCCCATTATTCACGGCCAAAAACACGTTCATAATCAACAAAATAATCGTCCCACTGCCTCGTATACGCTTAAATGGGCTCAGTGGGCTTGGAAGAGATGAAACAGATAGTGAGCTGATTAGGTCACGTGACACGCGACACGTGGCTCATCTCGGTTTCCCGTCCACCACTCCCATTCCCCCCTCCGTGCGCCCTAGTGGCTCAGTAGCCAAAAGAACTTTACAGACACACCTGGGGAGACGTCTACTAGGCGTTTCCGAAATCCCGAAACCCCTACTGCCCCTTAATCCCTGGAATTTATGGATTGCTTTGAATAAACCACCTGCATATAGTCCCCCACATACCGAGTCGGACGATGCTCGTTTAGCCTCGTTCCCTCTAAACGAGCGAAAAAATGCACTCTAAATAACCGCCTGCCTTTATAAAATACATATAAACGACACTTCCCCCTTGTTCCTCCAGCCTTATTCAACAAGTCCCCCACCATGGATCTCGTTTTGGAAATAGCTGATTCCTTCGTTCTCGACAAGGTCTACGCTAAAGCCTTGCCCAAAGACGGCAGTGTCGCTCGTTACTTCAACGACCACTTTGGCTCCAAGAACACTACTTCTGCCCAGGGGCTCCACATGCCTGCGCCAGTGACGTATTTGGCTTCGATGGCTGGCAAGTTGCAGAGAAAAGATGAGGTTTACGGCCACTTCCCGTTTTTCTTTGATTTTGATGAGTATACCAACGCGTCGATGCTTTCGAGAAGCAACTTGATTCGTGAGTGTGTGTCTATTTTCTTCATCACGGCTATTTTCGGCTGGATTCTTTACTTTTCCGTGGCTTCGCTTTCGTATTTCTTTGTTTTCGATAAGAAGATCTTTAACCATCCTCGTTACTTGAAGAACCAGGTGTCTTTGGAGATCTGGAGAGCTTCTACCGCCATCCCAGTGATGGTGCTTCTTACAGTGCCTTTCTTCGTGGCTGAACTTAACGGATACTCGAAGTTGTACTTCCCAGTGAACGAATCCACTGGCGGCTGGAAAGCCATCCTTCTTCAATTCCCATTTTTCATCTTGTTTACCGATTGCGGTATCTACTTCATCCACCGCTGGCTACACTGGCCTGCTGTTTACAAGAAGTTGCATAAACCTCACCACAAGTGGATCGTGTGTACGCCATTTGCTTCCCACGCTTTCCACCCTGTTGACGGCTGGTTCCAGTCCTTGCCATACCACCTTTACCCAATGGTTTTCCCATTGCACAAGGTATCTTACCTCCTTTTGTTCACTTTTGTTAACTTCTGGACGGTGATGATCCACGACGGTCAATACATGTCTAACGACCCCGTCGTGAACGGTACTGCGTGCCACACAGTGCATCACTTGTACTTTAACTACAACTACGGACAATTCACCACCTTGTGGGACCGTTTGGGCCGCTCATACAGAAGACCCGACGACTCTTTGTTTGCCAGGGGCACTGACAAGGCCGCAGAGGAGAAGGAGTGGAAGGAGCAGACCCGTAAGATGGAGGTCATCAGAGGTGAGCTTGAAGGAAAGGACGATGACAGGGAGTACGGACACTGAGGGTCTTGGATGAACATTTTGGGTAATGACATAGAATAATTGACGGTTTACAAGATACTTGTAGTGCAGGGGCACTGAAGTGGTTTGACCGGAGCGGTTGATGAGCAAGAAAGCACGACGATCGGCGTATCGTTTAGACGGAAAAGTGCTATGCAAAGACACTGGGAAGGAAAACCTGTCAAGTGCTTCCGAAGCACCCAGGGGGAGGGGGGTACCGATGCATGGGTACCAAAATAACGAACACAAGGCAACGCGGTCAATAATCCCCAGGCATGACCAAATGGCATTGTCGGCTAGAAGAATTAGTTCCCGTTTGTGAACTATGTCATCTTAAGTGGATACCTTCCCTGGAAGAAAACGAGACGAGGCTTTCCTGGCTTAGTCCGTCGTCTAGAGCTACCGGACCACAAGAGGCAACCCATTTGGTAATTTTTTACAAAGAAGCGGGAGCTTCTTTAGCTGAAGTCTAATGGCCTCCATGAACTCTATAGAGTCCATTTAGACATCCATTCCTGTCTCCACTTCTGTCTTCCAATTACTCTGGTTACTAGCAGCCTTCTATGAGCATCAGTACTGGCTGTACCAGTCACTCATACACCACCGCCAAAAACACTAATACACTATAGAAACAAAAACCAAAACCACCACTAGAATCCCACTTCTCCCGTAAACACCACCCACCAAAACCCTCTATAAATTACTCTACCTCCCTTCATCCATATCCACTTGGCCCTTCCTCATCCATCCTACCATTTCGCAGCCATGGACTCTGTCTGCAGCACTTGGTGATATCAGAGATCGATAGCTATCATCGAATACGTACATCAAATCCACACATACAACGTCTTTTTTTTCCTCCATCCAGCGGCATGTATCCACACGGCGTGTCCCGGTTGAACCGTCCGGGAACGACGCAACAGGGGAACTTTTCCCAGCCCTTTTCCCACAACTACAACTCCCAGAACGCTCCAATAGGAACAGGTCCATCTTCAGCTGCTTCCATGCAACTTCCCCAGCCGACGATGATGGCGCTGAACTCAATTTTGACCTTGGGGCCGTATAGACACAGGAAGGATCTTTCCCGTCATCTGGTGCTACTGAACTATACTGTCATTGGGTATATTGCAGCAGGAACGTACGGTAAGGTCTATAAGGCCAAGCTGAAGAGCGATAGGACCAACGGAAGCACAGACGACTTGGGGGAGGTCAGCAGACAACTAGAAAAACAAGAGCCAGAGGAGGACCAGAGGCTATATGCTATCAAGAAGTTCAAATCAGATAACCATCTGAGCATGGCTCATGCGCTAGGAGCCAACGCCCATGAAGGCGGCGCTTATACTGGGATCTCCCAGTCTGCCATTAGAGAAATGTCGTTGTGCCGGGAGCTCAACCATAAGAACATTACGAAGCTCATGGAGATCATGCTTGAGGGGAAGAGTATCTATATGGTGTTTGAGTTCTTTGAGCATGACTTGCTTCAAATCATTCATTATCATCTGCATCCGGACGTGAAGCCTATTCCGGAACACACAGTAAAGTCACTTATATGGCAGGTGTTAAACGGCGTGACGTTTTTGCATAAGAACTGGGTTTTCCATCGAGACCTTAAACCGGCCAATATCATGGTTTCTAGTGATGGAGTGGTGAAAATTGGTGACTTGGGACTTGCCAGGAAGTTCAATAACCCACTTCAGAGTTTGTACACGGGAGATAAGGTCGTGGTCACTATCTGGTATAGGGCCCCAGAGCTTTTATTGGGTACTCGTCATTACACTCCAGCTATTGATCTTTGGGCTGTGGGATGCATTTTGGCAGAGTTGCTTTCTCTCCGGCCTATCTTCAAAGGTGAAGAGGCTAAATTTGATATGAGCAACAAAAAGCTGATTCCGTTTCAAAAGAACCAGCTACAGAAGATTTTTGAGATCCTCGGCACCCCAACAGTCGAACAGTGGCCCAGTCTTCCAAAGTACCCAGACTATTACGCATTTCAACAGCATTTCCTTCAGAAAGGAACCCCGTACCAACCAAATCTCAGCAATTGGTACAAGATGATTGGCGGCAAGAGTAAAGGCTGCCTTACATTGCTTCGTGACTTACTCCATTACGATCCTGCTACCAGGGTTTCTGCAGACGGAGCACTCCTTCATCCATACTTCCTTGAAGCACCCGTGGTCAAGGAAAATGCATTCGAGGGCTTGAACGTGAAGTATCCAAAGAGAAGGATCTTCACCGACGACATCGACATTACAGCGCAAAACACAAACTTCAGCAACAAGAGACATTATGATGATGGTTTGTCCAGAAAGAGGCAGAGAGGGTAAGGCCTAAAGGGAGGAAAGTATTAGAGAACAACGCTTACAGCTTATGCATTATGAACAATCGTCGGTCTGGCCGTCTGTTGGAATCAAGAGGATAGAAAAATGGGCTGTTGGTGAACAAGGAGCAGTGAACAAAAGAACGTCACCAAGGTTTTGAGTAAACCAGTCTTCACGACATGGAAACAGAAGAAAACAGCACATCCAAAAAAGAACTGCACTGCATTCGTGAAAAGCCAGATCAACAGCCTCATCCTTCTTCCTTCCTCACCAGTAATGGCTGCGAAAAGACAAACCAGACACTGATACCAAAGCATTTACAGACCAGAAATCACAAAAAGTTAGTTTACCAAAAAGCAGGCACCTTGTAGAATCACCTACTTCACTATTTTAAGATACCTCTTCCAAATCTCTTCTCTTCCCCATCCACCACTCCATCTACCTTTGATCTCGCGCGAGATCAACTGAAACTTCCCCAGACATACTACTCCTTCCAGCCATTGACACCGCCAATGTCATACAAACGCGTCAAACAGGTCTACTCAGGCCCGTCATGTGACGTTTACCAAGGCGAGCTGGCCCAAGGAACGACGGTGGCGCTTAAAGTGGTGGATCTTGACTTTGTGAGGAAACCCCACGACTTCAGAAGAGAAGTTGCAATTCTACGAAAACTACATAATGAGGGTCATAAGAACATTGTTCCGTTTCTAGATTCGTACCGTGTTCCTGGCTCGGACGACGACGTGTTGGTGATGCCGTTTTATGAACACGATCTATGTCTGTTGATGAAGCAGAACGTGAAGAAGAAGGTGAGGTTTAACTTCGAAGATCCAAGCAGAAACACAACAGAAGAGAGGAATATGCTTCCGTTGGACGTTGCAAGAGGCGTTACGTTTGGTTTAGCGGAAGCGTTGAAGTTTCTTCACGAAAAGCATATCATTCATAGAGATATCAAGCCAGCCAATGTGTTTCTCAGCGCTGCGGAACCTACCGTGCCTGTTTTGGGCGATTTTGGCATTTCTTATCCGGTAGACGAACCGCCAGCGCTGGAACCTTTGGATACGAAGTTCGGCGATATCGCTACGGGTTACTATAAGGCCCCAGAGCTCTGTTTTGGCGTGACAGACTACTCTTACGAGGTTGATCTTTGGCTGTTGGGGATTTTGGTGCTGTACTTGTATTCAAAAGATGGGCATCCGGTTAATAGAGAGGTGGAGGAAGACGAAAGGGAAGAAATGCCTGAACTTAATGACTTTGTCTTGCTACGAGGGTTGTTTAGGAATTTCGGCACGCCCACAGTTGAAGATTCGCTGAGCGAGCTATATTGGCCCAAATTGGCCAGCGAAGAGTACCATTTTGTGAAATTCAGATACGAAGGGCATCCAAGAAAAAGCGTGGATCAGCTTTTGCCAAGATGTGATGACCAAGACGTCAAAGTCTTGTTCAACGGCTTGACGCGGTACGACAAGCGAGTCTTGGTCATCGAAAAGTGAACCAGCGTTGCCTACATTCGCTTTCCCTAATATATATATATTCTTGGGCCAAAGGCCGAGTCGTGGAAGATCGTAAGGATAATCGTGAAAAAGAGATGATCTAAAAAATGGAGAAAACAAATTTCTCCCAAACATTCTTGGGGATGGGGTTGTCGTAGTGTCTTTCTTCCTCCTCCACCATCTCCAATTTGCCGAAGTCGAACTCCTCCAAAGGATTAAGCCATCTCTTACGGCCAACCCAGAAGTACGAGTATGATCTGTGTGCCACGTAAAGACCTAACACAATTGGCAAGGTGATATAGGCAGCAAGGAAGTCAGCAATGTCAAAGTCGAAGAAAACAGCGTAACCGTTGGTGAGGGTGATCAAGGAAACGAAGAACATCACGTAGTATGCACCGTATGGCTGGAACTTGGTTTTGTATGGGACTCTGTCCAGAAGGCCTTGCAAAGCAATAGCCTTTCTCCATCTGGTATAAGCGAAGGAAGCGGTGATCCAGGAGATGTAACCAGAAATGGTGGAGATGTTGGAGAACCAAGAAAAAACCTGGGACGAAGAACTGGAAACGTTCAAGTAAGCCAAACAACCAACGGCAAAAACGATCAACACACAATAAATTGGAACACCAAATCTGTTGACGGTGGTGAAGATCTTAGGAGCCAAACCTCTCTTGGCAAGCGAGTAGAGGGTTCTGGAACCAGCGTAAAAGAAGGAGTTACCAGCGGAAGCAGCGGAAGTCAAAACCACAGCGTTGATAATATGGTTCAACACTGGGATACCGGCATTCTGGATACCCACAACAAAAGGCGAAGCAGAAGCGTCACCCTTCTCGCCCATCAACCTCTCACTTCTAGAATCAGCGATAATACCAATCACCAAAGAACCCAAAATGTAAAAGAAGGCCAAACGATAGATAAACTGCTTGGCACATCTTGGGATAATACGACGAGGTCTGACCACTTCACCAGAACAAGACACAATCAACTCAGGACTCATAATAAAAGAGTAACCGGCTCTGACAATGGCAGTCCAGGTAGCCAAGAAGCGACCCGTGGCACCGTCCACCAAGTGGTCGTGGAAAGCGTTACCATCAGCCCAGTGACGGAAACCAAGCATATCTTTATTTGGGCCACCGCCAAAGAACAAAACGATACCCAAAATGATCAACCCAGTAATTGCAAAGATTTTAATACTGGCAAAGAAGAATTCAGCTTCACCGAAAAACTGCACCGGCAACACATTCAATAAAAGCATCAAACCTAAAAGGATAGATATCCACACGGCAATATGAACGTCAGTAGTCCAGTACTGGATCAACATGGCAGCAGCGACGGTTTCTGTAGCGACCAAAATGGAAAACCCATACCAGTAATTATAACCAAGCGCAAACCCAATGGAAGGGTCCGTGAAGTCATTGATAAACTGCTGGGAACCCGTTCCTGGCACCGGCAAGAACGAAGCCATTTCAGCCAACATGTTCATCACAAACCACACAACAGTAGACATGACAATATAAGAAATCCAAAGTGGACCTGGCCCCGTGGTATATAAAACCTGGCCCGAGCCCAAAAACAACCCAGTACCAATAGCACCACCCAAAGCGATCAACTGGACATGTCTATTTTTCAAACCCTTCTTCAACTCGTTTTCTGGCGGCAACGACGAGTCGTCATCAGCAGAGTAAAGCTCACCTTCAGCCTTCTCAAGGAAGTCCACCAGCGCCAAAGGCTTATCCTTGTCGTGGCTATCAAGAGGGCTCCTAAGTATGGAAGCCGTAGGGGAGTTATTGTTCATGGTTGAAAGAGATACAGAGAAACGAAAGGAAGGAAAACACAGCGGTTATATACTAGCCATAATGCAACAGCTGCACGGCGTTCGGACAGAGGAGGGGCAGTGAAGCGATGGTGTCATTGATAAGAGGCAGCCTAAGAAAAAGCGAGTTGGAATAAGAAATTGTGAGTGCCCAGCAACAATAGCGATCAGACAGGCCATAGGAAGCCACAAAGTAGCCGTAGAAGATTTTATTTGTTTTTTTTTTAGAAAAAAAAAAACCAAAGCAAAGAAGGAAGCAAAAAGCAAATCAAGTTTTTTATCTTTCGTATCTTTATCTTCTGTTCTGCTTGGTGGCTATCATAGGTTTGAGGGACATCACCACCAGCCAAGACAGACACCTTCTCAGTTCATTCACGGAAGGTTTCGCCGTGGACGGATTTTTTGGTCCAGCGGGGCAGATGGGGTAGGTTTGTTGCTTTTTTGGAGACTTTTCATGGATATACGGTTTCTCCCTGGCCTTTGGTTTCTTAGTTGAATTGGCAAATCTTGGCTTGGGCTGGTAACAGACAGGTTAGGCTTGGCAGGACGAGGATGGAGGGCTTGTTGTTTGTGGGCACATTTACGGTGCCGGTCGCTGTAAGTTGCCTTAAGTTGGTAAGAAACTTGGCAAGCCAATGAAACTCGGTTCTCGGAGTCGCTTATCAGGACAGGCAGGGGAAAGGCTGGAGGTGGTGAGGTGAGGTGGTGAGTATGGGTATTTTGCAACCATTCTGTGTCGCGACCAGGGTGGTTTTTAGCGGGTAGGAGAAAGACAGGTTTAGGGAACCGTGGGGGTAGCAGAGGCAAGTCAAAAAAAAGATAATGTAGCCAGGTAGATTTAAAACACGAAAGGCAGGGCAGGTTGGGACTTCGGGGCCTGGGGCAAAAAAATAATTGCAGCACCACAATTTCACACATGGTCTCCCACTGTATTACTCACTGTGTCCCTGAGTGGCTTGACAGTTGTTGATCGGACGGGAAACAGTATTTTCCCACTCGGCATGGCCGCAACTGGAAGACCAAAATTTTGGATGGTATATATGGGATAGCTGAATTGGCTAAAAGTGGTTCAAATTTGCTCAAAATCTGGGCGTAGGTACCTTAAAGCTTAAGGATTTAGGTAGTATGCTTTTCATGCTCGCTGGACGTCTCTATCACCCAAAAAGCCAACTATTCCCCAAGCAGTGCAAAAGCACCATCCATATCAAACAGAACGTCCTGGAAATCCCAGAAAACACCGTTCCTGGCCTTCAGTATCATACTGGATCTTGGAGCATGTTATCCTCCCCAGCCACGTCTGGCCACACCGAAACACGCTGATTACACAAAGGAAGTGGCCATTCGGGTGTCTCAGTGAGCCAGGAAGCACAGAGACATCACAGACGAGGGAGGAGCTCTGCAGCATCAACAAATGCCATTTCTGCCAACTGACGTAACCTCCCTGGTCTACATAGACCACTCAAGGAGTGGCAAATCGAGCATCTTCCAACCTTCTACGCTTATCCACCTTATCTGGACCAACCACTCACTCTCCAGACAACGCTCACAACAGCAACGAAGACCAAGATCCTCTGGCCCAGTCAGGCATTCCAATTCACCTTTCGAGCAACCAAACAAAGCAATCGAGGGGGGCCCATTTACCCCGGGTAAAGCCCAAACATGACACTAAGCATCTGGGGCTAAATGTCTTAGATCGAGCAAAGAATGACACGCACGAGTGCTTAAGGCGTAAAGTTTGGGCTCTTGCCTGTTATGGCGAAGGATTCTTGTAAATATAGTTTATCCCCTGGGGAAGTACTGTTTTCGTGGCCCTATGACGTAGTAGTGCTTCCGTAGACCCTTAATCGTGAGATGACCAGCTGAAGGTATGCTTCTAGGGTAACAGTACAACTTACATTCCCAGGCAAAAGCAGAGGAATAAGCAGAGCAAAGGCAATGGAAAATACCCCACAATGCTTCTGAACATGGCTGTGCTGCCTCCCCTATCAGTCAATGGTCATTGACGAAGCATATACTGACCAGTAATGAATAAGCCGTGCCTCTAACTTTCCAGATTTACACTTCCAACCCCACTTTGATCCAACACGCTCTCTTGATGCTGTCTTCACGCTTCTTCAAGCTGCCTTTACGCCTCTTCACGCGAGTGTTTACCTGGCAAAGACATGGATTTGCAAACATACCGCGTATGCCAAAGCCATCAGGCTCAAGCCTTCAGGCTTGCACGTTTCACCTTCGTACGCCTCCAAATCCCTCAGCCTTATCATTCCTTATCCACATTTGCGCTTTTCTTCCACGGATACCTTTTCGGAATGCCGTTTCGTATGTGAAGTCGTAAGTAGGTGCCATGAGGTCATAGTCGCTTAAGGTGCGCAGGGGAACAAACCAGGGTACGGTTTGGCGAGTGAGTTGATGGAGGTGGAAGTGGGTTCAGTGGTTGACGGTGACGGTTGGTTTCTGGGCCAGTTTGGGAAGGGTTTGGCCTGGTTTGCGGCTCAGAGGGTCGACTATGCGGCGCCAGCTAGTGAATGTAGATATGGAAAGTGGTGGGTGGGAAGTTGGTGATTCCGTGATTTAGTTGAATTAGAAAGGGAAGATTCATGATTTTGAGAACGTTGAATTTTGCTTTGGCGTTATTTGGCGTTGTTTGGCGTCTCTGTAAATGGGATGTGTATTATTCAGTGAGTAGTTGAACTGAAACCATCAAATCACCACAACCAACCAGCCAAAACCAACCAAAAGCCAACCAAAAGCCATCCAAAATAGCCTTCTTTAAGCCTTAAACATTCAAATACCTGTCATTCTCGAGGCGACATCTTTTAGCTTTCTCGCCGTACCAAACACGGCATACCAGCCAACCAATCCATCCATTCTCTTAGTCACCACCAACACACCACCAACATACCCTAATTGACCAAAAATCCACCAAATATCTCCTAGACCCTCCCCACACCACCACATTAACCTTCTCTCTCGGCTGTGGCTAGCGATCAGCGAGTAACTCCGTTCATCCAATGCTCTTCCCATTCTTCAACCAGAGAACAATAGACCCACCCATAGACAAACCAGACTCCACCAAACAATCCACCAAAAGTCTCATTCAAGGCTCTCTCGTCTCCTAATCAAGTAACTACGTAGTTTCCAGAACATCCAGAAACCCCTAAACCCAGATCCAGGGTCCAGTCCAACCTCGCCGAACCGATAACGTACGAGCCACGGAATCTTCGTAATAGGCTAATCAGCCAGGAGTCACGAAGCCAGCGGTGCCATATAATAACGCCCAAACGGCGAATCCGTAGCCGTAGTTGACCACGCCACGAACAAGCAACAAGCTACTGGAAGGTAAAATAATAACCGGCCAATGAAGAAAATAAGGAAGGAAGAGGAAAAAGGGCAGAAAAAGAACAAAAAAAAAGCCAAAAAAAGGGAAATCCATGCCTTTTATAGGTTTTCGAAGCTCTTCAACATCTTAATACATCTGCTTCCTCCTCTTCTTCTCCTCCACTCCTTCTTTATATAGATATGGTAAACAGATTATAACCGCCAGACTCGAGCAGGGGACCTAAAAGGCTGCGAAAAACACAAAAAAAGCCGCAGGCGATGGTCGCCAGAGATCCCGCAAGCACCCAACTTTTCGAAGAACCAACGAAAAAAAAGAGAAAAGAAGTCCAGTTTCCCGCCAAAACCAGCCCCAAAAAAGCCATTAACTGTGTCAAAAAAAGTGGAAAACTCCCTCCTTTTATAGTTCTCACGGCCTCCCTAAACCTCTTTGTGGGCCGTCCCCACCTTCTGTGCGTTTTTGTCTGCCCTGCCTGCCTGCGCTGCCTGCGCTGCCTGCCAGAAAGCGCTGCCTGCCAGAAAGCGTAAACTTGTCTATATAAAAGGGCCTGCCCCGCCTTTCCTCGAAAAGCCAGCCTTTCCAGCATTACCACTTGTTTTATATTTATTTTTTCTGTTTACTATGGCGACGTTGCTTAAAGGCATTGGAAAGCTCCAGGTGACGGGCCACAGCGTCTCGGAAAGCCCCACAGACGAGGATTTCATCAAGTGCTTGGACTATGAGGAGTTGGAGCGCAAGTTTGGCTGTTTCAAGTACTATCCCAAGTTTCTCAACAACTACGACTACCTGACGCCAGAGATTAAGGAGATGATTGGCGATAAGCCGGTTTACCTGAAGGCGAATAAGCATCTTAAGAATTTCAAGAATCCAGGCACGAAGAAGACCTTTGTCACTGAGATAGACGTGGAAACTGGCGCAATGACCGTCAAGGAGAAGATTGAAAAGAAGGATAGGAAGGCCAGGAAAGAGGAGCGTCGGGCACGCCGCGAGGACAGGAAAGAGCGTCGTGAAGAACGCAAAGACGACCGTAAGGACCGCCGGGAAGAGCGTAAAGACGACCGCAAGGACCGCAAAGAAGACCGCAAGGACCGCAGAGAAGAACGTAAGGAGGACCGTAAAGAGCGCAGGGAGCTCAGAAAGGGTCAGAAAGAGAATGGCGATGTTGAAGACGAACGCCATACGGCTCTTCCCATTCTTCAGACTCAGGTCCAGCGTCGTGAGGGCAGACAGTCCTCTGTGGCCACGGGGAACTCGGGCAGCACGCAAAACCTGGGCCCCATGGGAGCTCCAGCAAAAGTTGAACCACCTAAAATGGCTAATGGCGATTCTGAAGATTTCCAGTTCAACAATCCATTTGGCGAGCAGAGCACGTTGGTTTCAGAAAAGGCGCCAGAGCCTCAAGCTACGCTGATGTCGAGACAAAACTCTCTAGCGTCGAATATCAAGCCACGGCAAGAGTCAGTGCATAGCGGCGTCAAGCCTCGTCAGAATTCTGTCCAAACGTTGGAGAAACCCAGAAAGTCTACATTCTCGCTGAAGCTACGGGACATGATCATGCCTCACAGGCACTCCACAGATAACAGTGGGGACTTACAGAGAACGCAGTCGTATGACCAGACCCGGTCACTGATGACGTTTAACCGCGGCGCCAAAACGGGGATGCTTAAGATTACTTTGAATGATTCGAAAGCTCGCAGGATGAGCGAACAAATTGGTACGTATAACACTTGAAAAAGAAACAAGAGAGAAGGATGACGAGATTCAGTGAAGAGTCAGAGACCAGGAAATCAATCCATATCCAGAAGTCCAGAGAAATCCATCCTATCCATCCATATCCAGATCCACAGTCCATCCAGATCCAGAGAATTTTACCAGATGACCAGTTCCAGGGAAACCGGCACCGGGCCGATACCGTGCCTTGTAGAAATTACCCAACTTGGCGAAGAAGATGATTCCAACAAAAGCTAATAACCGAAGATGAAGATCCCAAGAAACTTCACTTCCACGAGGGGAGAAACACAGGGTTGGTGCCTGAAATTCAAAGAAGCCGAACAGCCGCAAAGGGTTACAGCTTACGTGAGTTTACGAGTATGGATCGGCAAATATCGGCAGGAAACCTTACACTGCCTAGCACTTTTCCTAAGAAAATTACCACCAATGGGCGCTGCTGCAAAGCTTAGAAAAAGAGTCCCTTTGGCTTTGTGGTGATATGTGGAGAAGCATCTCTTCCCCACATGTATGCAGTTCGTCCAGATTTCCAAAGTACCCACGGAATTCCCACCCTGGCTTTACCTGGCAACGTTGATTTTATTAGAATCATCAAAAGCCAGATACAACTTCGTTTCTGATCAGTTCCAGGTTACTATGCAACAGGGAATGATTGGAGGGGGGCAGATACACGAGGGGATGCGCTTTGGAAGGTTTTGCGGGGTTTGGTTTCATTTTTAGAGGAAAAGCCACGGTTTGTATGCAGGAGCGATGAATTAAGGGCGCGCATTTCTTGCCAAACCACTGACTACTAAGAGGATACTATATGCAGGAAAGGGTACTTTCAGGCTTTATTATAACTTTTTTTGGTTGCACCCAGTGTTGCTATTCGTGTCTCATCAACACCCCTTGGGGTGTTGGTGCCTTTTTTCAGAAAGTCTTGGTATCTCCACGTGGCTACACCGCCACGTGACCAACCTCCAACCATCCAACCTCCAAAGGGGCAAAAGGCAGCCACTACGTCAGCCCCGCAGAGCGCCGTGCACCGCGGCAACCCCACCCTAACAGAAGTCTGTGTGTGTCTAAGGAAGTCCTTTTTTTTTTCCCTCGCTATTCTGGTCGATCGTGGCAGAAAAAGTCGTGCGCGCCCAGATTTGCTGCGTGACCTAAACCTGGTCGCAACACCCGTAAGTGTTCAAGGTTTTGTTTTTTCTGGGGTTTACCCTTTGTGATTTTACTCATCTAGAAAACGAATTGGAAAAAAGAAGCAAGTTTCAATTTGCCAATTGAACGACTCCTCGGGCTGTTAAAGTGAATATCTTCGGAAAGAAAGCTCTTTAGGCGGGCACACACTCAAGTTTTTTTTTTCCCCTGCAAGGTTCAGTTCTATCTTCCCATCATATCTGTTTTAAGATCTAGTTGGGTATTCCGGTCAACGTGAAAGAAAAGGCTGGCTTGTCGACGACTGTGTGATAAGGAAAGGCATCATCCACTTCATTCATTTTTCAGAAAAAAAAAAAAGGTTCCACGTAACCCTCTCCGGTTTGCCATATTGGTCCCCCACACCCATTTTATCTTCCAAAGTGATTTCCATCCCTCTTGATCATCCCATATTACGTTTACTAACATGTCCAAAATAGAAGTCATAACAGAGAATGTCAATAACGGTCTGACGGGAAAGCTCGAGTCCATTCAGTACACCAAGTCTCAGATGGTGGGCCACGGCTCCTTTGGTGTGGTGTTTCAGACACAGCTTTTACCGTCCAATGAGATTGCTGCCATCAAGCAGGTCTTGCAGGATAAGCGTTTCAAAAACAGAGAGCTTCAGATCATGAAGCTTGTTCATCACCGTAATGTTGTTGACTTGAGGTACTATTTCTACACCAACAACGACAAAAACGAATTGTTCTTGAACTTGATCTTGGAATTTGTCCCCGAGACTTTGTACAAAGCATCGCATTACTACGTTTCGAAAAGACTTAGCATGCCCTCGTTGGAAGTGAAGTTATACACTTACCAAATGTTTAGGGCCTTGAACTACATTCACTCACAAGGCATTTGTCATAGAGACATCAAACCCCAGAATTTGTTGATTGACCCGGAAACTGGTGTTCTCAAGTTGTGTGATTTCGGTTCCGCCAAGATTCTTAATCCTCTGGAACCCAACGTTTCTTACATTTGCTCGAGGTACTACAGGGCTCCAGAGTTGATTTTTGGTGCCACCAACTACACCACCAAGATTGACGTCTGGTCTGCAGGCTGTGTCATGGCCGAGTTGATCTTTGGTCAACCATTGTTCCCAGGAGAGTCGGGAGTTGACCAATTGGTGGAAATCATTAAAATTTTGGGCACGCCTACCAGAGAACAAATCAAGAATATGAACCCAAACTATACCGAGTACAAGTTCCCTCTGATCAAGCCTGTTCCATTGTCGAAAATATTCAGGAAGAACTCCAACGATTGTGTCCAGTTCATAATGAAGATCTTGGAGTACTCGCCTATCGACAGAATATCGTGCATTGAGGCCTTGGCCGACCCTTACTTTGATGAGTTGAGGGATGACAACACAAAGTTGCCTAATTACAGGAAATTGTTCAGCCAACAAATCTACAGCAACTCCACGCATTACCCACATCAGAATAACGCTAACTACCAATTGTATTCTAATCAACCTGATGTTAGAGACTTGCCCGAGTTGTTTGACTTTGACGACCGTGAATTGTCCGTGGAGCCCTCGTTGAACCTGGTGTTGGTGCCCAAGCATGCATTGGATAGATTGAAGATCACCAGAGGAAACAGCTTGGACTCCTTTGTGCCCATGACCGCTGACGAGATGGAGGTTACGTTAGAGTAGAGATGAACGTTGTTGCTGCTGGGCCTACTACCACTACTATACATACTTGACATCAAAATGTCTAATTCTGCTTATGTTGTCACGATGAATGCAAAAATATAAAAGTTAAATGCCCCATATACCTGGTTTATAGTCTTGGTTTCTCAACCTTCTTAGTCTTGTGCTCTCCTGGTGTTGTAACTGGAGTTTCTGTTGGCGTTGGCACTGTCACTTCCTTCTTCCTCGAGAAGAGTCTGGTAATTGGCAACACAAACCACTTGGCAAACCACGGCATTCCAAAAAGACTGAATGCTAGTCTCACCGGGAAGAGAGCCTTCACGATCACATAAGCATAAGCACCCTCCATAATCACCTGAAGCTTTTCATTAAGCGAGTAGTCACCCCAGTCAAACGACACCATGGCCAGGTCAATGATCTTCGTACCCTTTTCAATGGCCCAGCCAGGCAAGTCCAACGAAGACACCATAAGCAAATCATGGTACGAATGAAGCACATACCAGATACCCACCAATGGCACTATAGCAGTAAGTTCATGAAGAATCAAGAAAGCCGTGACATGTGACACTGGAGCATGGATAAACTGTGTTGTCCAGGGTCTCAAGATCCTAGGCACTTTGCTCAATATAGGGTGTCTATCAAAAGCAGCGTTATCGACCTGTTTTCCATCTTTGGAGGTGTATGTCTCTTTGTGAGGAGGAGGTTGAGGCAGTTGCCTCGTGAAAAGAGCTCTGGGAGCAGTGCGGTGGATCCAGGCATACGAAAGACGAGTATGAGGTTTTGGAAACGCCGCAAGGCGTCTTACTGGTAACATTTGGAGACTCGGAGTGGATGGTTGGTGGTTGGTGGATTAAGGTGGGTAGGTAGATTGGAGGCTTGTTGATGCTGGGGAAGTCACGTGATGGGGAGTTGGTAAAAAGTGGGTTCCAATGGCCAGGCTTGGATTTTGAAGGGGGAGGGAGGGGGAGGGTGTTAGTAAGGAGGAAATGGGGTTATATGATTGGCTGGAAAGGTGTGGTTGGTTTGGAGGTGGAAGTGGTGGGGGTTTGGTGTAATGCGATAAGGCTGGAGCTGGGAAGGTAGGAGAGGGAGAAGAGAGGAGTGAAGGAAGGGAAGGTAAAGGAAGGGAAAGGCACAATGGGATTCAAAATATACTGGTGGTTTTACTAATTGTCTTTGCCTTTTCTTTTCCTTTTCTTTTACTTCAATTGGTTCATTTGGTATGGACTTGGTGGAGTGGTACTTCTAATGGCTGCGAAATGGAAAGGCTATGAAGGGGAAGAATACACTATGTCTTTCGGAAGCTACAAATGTACGAAAAATGATTCAGAAGGGTCGGTTTTAAAAAACTCACTGTTTTGATAATTTTTATCCTTCGTTACCACCTTCACCTTGGCTCAACCAGTTCTTGGGAATCTCCCCTCCAGGAAGGCAGCAGGAATGGACTGTCCGTCCAAAACTTCCACTTGGGAATTGATCGAATCAAACGTTTTGTTCAGCTAATCTTCAGCATGAGCATTCAGATCGAGGTAATTCGTCACCACGACTCCTTCTTTAAAATTAATCGTCTTCAAACATATCCAATAGTTAGACTCTCCAAGACAGTCGAGCTCGTTAGAGATATACTTTGGTCAGAAGCATATGGAGAGTGCTTTAAAAGAACGTAAAATATGGAATTTGTGGATGGTGGAGGGCTGTATGTTTTGAGGTCTTTTTCTTTTGTAATTGAAGAGGGTTGCTGGTGGAAATGCTTCTTTAAGACCACTGAAGCTATGTGGATTCGTATTGACATTAAACGGTACCCTAGAAGAGACAAAGATCGTTGGCAAACTTTTCTTTTTTTCTCTGAGATTTCTCTAAACCCGTTTTCTGGTAGTTTGAAGTAATATTCAAGTAAAGTTACTGTTTATATATGGCATTCGTTTAGATGAAACACTAAATACGAGAGTATACTCTTGTCGTATCCAGCGTTTGAAGTCAGTAAAAGCTGGAAATTACAGATAGCAGTGTCTCAAATATTCACAATCCATGCTATTAGAATTATTATTAAATTTAGTGAAACCGATAAAATGATACTAATAGTAGACATCCAGTAGTACTTGAACCGAGGCTTCCCATCCACCAACCCATCAAACGACGCAACCCAAAACCACAAATCTGCTCTAAACAAGAAAAACAGTTAAAAATGACAACCAAACTCTCTTTAGTCCTTTTTTCCACTTCTTTGCTCGAAATCCACTCACCCACATACTTCCCTCCAGTGTCCTCTGTGGACTGAAACGAGCCCATACAGAGTCCCACCTAACCACCCCAAACCACCCCAAATCCCATAAAAACCAACTAAACTACTTTTTCTCTACCACCCCAAACCACCCCCTTAATCTCCTTCCCTCTCCTTCACTTCCTCCAAAATTTCACCACCTCTCCATTCATCCACCCAGTAACCACCAATTATTCGCAGCCATTTCACCCACCACCAAAACCAACGAAACACAACCAGCAGACCAAAATCCAATAAAAAAAAATCCAATAAAAACACCACTACAAGGAAAACAGAAACCTCCAATAACCCTTCACCGTCTGCCTCCTCCTTACTAATCCCATCTTTCCACCTCGCTTAGTGTCCTCGGCTCGTATAGCGCGCGAGCCGCGACTATATAAGAAACACTTTTCGCTCTTTTCAGTCTCCAACTACTTCCAGAACTACAACTCCCCACACATGTCTGTTTACATTGTCGCCTCTGCCAGAACGCCTATTGGCTCGTTCCAGGGCTCGTTGAGCTCGCTCACATACCCTGAGTTGGGTGCCCACGCGGTGAAGGCTGCGTTGGAGAAGGTGCCCCAGATTAAGCCAGAAGACGTGGAAGAAGTCATCTTTGGTGGTGTTTTGCAGGCCAACGTGGGCCAGGCGCCAGCCAGACAGGTTGCTTTGAAAGCTGGTCTTTCCGAATCCGTGGTGGCTTCGACCATCAACAAGGTGTGTGCTTCGGGTATGAAGGCTGTCATTTTGGGTGCTCAGACCATCTTGACTGGAACTGCTGATATTGTTGTTGCTGGCGGTGCCGAGTCCATGTCCAACACGCCTTACTACCTTCCTCTGGCCCGTCTGGGTGCCAGATACGGCGACACCCAGTTGATTGACGGTGTGCAGAAGGATGGTTTGTTGGATGTGTACGACCAGAAGTTGATGGGTGTGGCTGCTGAAAAATGTGCCAAGGACTACGATATTACTAGAGACGACCAGGATGCCTTTGCCTTGGCTTCGTACCACAGAGCCCAGGACGCCGCCAAGGACGGCAAGTTCAAGAACGAGATTGCCCCAGTCACCATCAAGGGTTTCAGAGGTAAGCCAGACAAGGTTGTTTCTGAGGATGAGGAGCCTGCCAACTTGAACGAGGACCGTTTGAAGTCTGCCAGAACTGTTTTCCAGAAGGAGAACGGTACTGTCACCGCTCCTAACGCTTCCAAGTTGAACGACGGTGGTGCTGCCTTGATCTTGGTTTCCGAGGCCAAGTTGAAGGAATTGGGCTTGACTCCATTGGCCAAGATCCGTGGCTGGGGTGAGGCTGCCAGATCCCCAATTGACTTCACTGTCGCTCCATCCTTGGCTGTTCCAAAGGCCTTGAAGCACGCTTCTGTCGCTCAGGATGATGTGGACTTCTACGAGGTCAATGAAGCCTTCTCTGTGGTTGGTTTGGCCAACGCCAAGCTCTGCAACCTTCCTCACAACAAGATGAACGTCTACGGTGGTGCTGTCGCCTTGGGCCATCCATTGGGTTGTTCTGGTGCTAGAATCATTGTCACCTTGCTTTCTGTGTTGAACCAGGAAGGTGGTAAGATTGGTGTCGCTGGTGTGTGCAACGGTGGTGGTGGTGCTTCTGCCATTGTCATTGAGCGCGTTGACCACGACTCCAAGTTGTAATAGTGTAGTTTTATTCTATATATTCAAATGGGGCTAAGCCCAGTAAATATAAAATCATTCATTCAATGCAAGTGATGCTTTTTTAATGGTTGAAATCCCAACGACTCAGACGACAGGGATATTAGCGTGGTGCCCGACCACGATGCCGTGCTGGGGCTGAATGTAGCCGGATGGATATGAATGGGGGAAGTGAATGAGGTGAAGCACAGAGTAGAACAACCGATGGGGTAATGCAAGGAAGGTAAAATAAGCGATCCTCGGTTGAAGCAAAGACGTTGCTGCGCCGACCAGTTTAAACAGAAGAGCAATGCTGGGGTAAATCAAGGCCCAAGGTCGATATGTCGCTTGCCCAATTGGTGGATAGTCCAAATCCACGATCGAGCTGCGTAATCCATATTTGCAGCCACGCTAGAACACGAAGCTCTTTTGCCGTCAACGCCAATTGTAGCGCCACTGTGGTGTTCAAGGGTTAAAGACGGGTCCAAAGAGCCAGCTACCAAAGCGTCAGCGCCTTGTTCCACAGTCACACCAAAGAAATACCCGAAAATCTGGAAAACACACCAAAACAAAATTCCAATAATGGGCAAACGGGTCCAGTAGCTAAAGTAGTTCGTATTCATGACAAACCCTGGTTGCACAGACATACAAAGAATCCTGGGGTTCCTCAAGGCTAGCATTTTCATAAAGTGAATACCAGCCGTTTTAGCCATAGCATAACGGAACCACGTAAACACAGCGTTGGGATGGTAATCGAACGTCAGGCCCAAATTAAAGTACCTAAACGCTAGGCGGTGCCCGACCAGCGACAAGTAAAGCACCCTTGGAGGCTCACCCTCTGGATTCAAGTCCACCGTCCGCTCCAACAACGGCAAGAGCTTCGTCGTAAGCAAAAACTGCAGCACATAGTTCGTCTGAAGCTGCAACTCAAACAGATCCTGAGTGCTCGAAGGCGGAAGCCCCATGATGCCAGCATTGTTCACCAACAAGTTCAAGTGTCTTTCCACGGCCTTAAGTTGCCCAGCAGCCGCCAACACCAGGTCCAACAGCGCCAAGTCCAACTCAAGAAAGTGGAGCTCGCCAAACACACAGCCCGCAAGCTCCAGCGGGCCCTCTGCCCGAAGCCGAACCGCCTCCAGCTCCAACTCTTTGATTGACTTCATACATCTCATCTTCAGCCGGCCTGCCAAATACACCACATATCCATGGACATAGAGCTGGAGCGCCGTGTGCCAGCCGACGCCCAGGTTGGCTGCCGTGATGAGAGCGACCCTTCTGTCTTGGGATGGGTCTAGGAACGGGAGCATGGGAAGGAGGAGAAAGAAGAAGTTGTGGGGAGTGGGAGTGGAAGTGGAAGTGGAAGTGGAAGATAGCGATTGCTGCGCGAAAGTGAGTAGCCGAGGAGCGGTGGGTGGGAAGGAAGGTGGATTTGAGGAAGGAATTGATGGTTTTAAGAGGATAGGGGAAATCAGGGGGAGTGGTTTTGGAGGGAGTTTTGGTTGTGGGATGGTGGAACGGTGGGATGGGAAGGTCGGGTGACGATGGGGCCATGGGATGGTCTTCGCAGGTAGAGGCTGGAGGGAGGAAGAGGTACATGTATTTGATAGAAAGAGATGATATTGAGGTGTTATGGGTACCGTTGGAATCAGCGAACCTCAAGGATTCCAGTGGTGTTTTCAGAATTTACGTAGCATGTCTCTGTGGTGAAATAACTGGGGATGTCTCACTCCAAGCTACACTTTTCAGCCTCCACTTTTCAGCCTCCACTAGTCTATTTTTCAGATACACTTTTTCAGCCCCCACCATTCTTCCACCCAACGGCCCAACCTCCAAAACTCTTCAAAACGTCTACCACTTGGCTGCCTGCCCCACGTGAAAAACCACCTTGCCCTGTTCGTCCCGGTTGGCTGGGTGGCTGGTTCCTTCTGGCCAGTGGGCTGAAGCACATTTTTCGCAGCCATTTCTGGCCGAACCGAGGCCCAATGGGGAAGCAGAGGACATGGAGGACGACGATAAGACATGAAATTGGAAAAAAGAAGATATGGATGGGAAGTTAAGGGAGGTGTGTTTCAGGGGAAAATGTCAGTTTTTGGTTTACAGAAGGAAGTTGTGGTTTTGGCGGAGGGTCGATTTGAGATAAGGCTCACTGTGGCTGGACAGATATGAGTATCCACAACAGCCAGAGAAGTACTTTTACAGTTACAATGATAGTTTTTTATATGCTTTTTTTGCCACTTCTTCACCTTCTGTCACTTCTACGGATTATCCTCAAATCCGCCTGGGTCGTTCTCTGGACCCTGGACGGTTTTGTGGTACTACTTTGCATCAGCTTCTGCCGCAAAGCCAACTTAGCCCTGGCAACGTTACCCAACCGCTGCCTTGGGATTTAATATGAGGATTTGGTATTTAGCAGATTAGGAGAATTCGGTGGGCTTTGTAGGGGCCAGAATTATCTGTAGATATTTGTTTACGGCTTTTTCTTTTCCTGGACTTCGAAGTGCTGGGCCTTCTTGGCTACGCCTTGCCGAGGCAAATACTGCCACACAATCGTCGTATTCGATTCGGCACTTTGTTCGTACTTATATGAATGAATACCCCTATAGGTACTCGTAAATCGCTTCCATTGTGTCGAAGCCATCGCCATTGTGTCCCTGGAATATGAAGTACCGGGTACTCAGAGGGTGGAGGAGCGTTGGAGGTTGGAAGTCCAGGAGAAGCCCAATATAAGGAATTCTTTTTATATGTTTAAAGTGGATTTGGATGTTTTGGGGCTTCTAGACGTCAAGATGAGCCAAAAAGGCTCATCCAAGTGTCTTGAAGTATTCACTGAATGAATTATTGATCCATAAGCCATGCTCTTCAATGAGTCAGTTCCTCTTGCCTCTTGTCTTCCTTAATAATCCAACATCTCCTTCCTTATCCACTCTTCCACATCTACTACTTCCCTGACTTCTGCCTCCTTCCTCCTTCTTTGTCTTACCACCTCCTCCACTACATCTGCAGAGTTACTAAAATCAAAAACTTTTACTTTATACACCGTCTAAATGCCAATCTCTGCAATCACACCCTTGCAAATATCCTCTGGAGTCCTGCCCGAAGTGTCCACATCCATAGAATCACCACCAGCAGTCAAGAGCTCCTCTCCCTGGGGAATCTCCATAATGTCATACTGGCTCTTCACCATGTCCAGCTTCATGTAGTGGCCCTGTCTACCGTTAACTCTCTGCATCAACTCATCATAAGACGTGTGAAGAAACACAAACTTGAATTTCAACTCGGAGTCAACGCCATGAGCACTCTTCTTGATATGATCTCTGTACACCTTCTTCAACATCGAACAAGACGCGATACAAATCTTCTGTGGAGCATCGTGGGCCTTCTTGGCTGCCACCTCACTCAAGTTAGCAAGCCATCCCCATCTATCATCGTCTGTAAGTGGCTGGCCCGCAGACATCTTCTTAATGTTGGCTTCTGGGTGCAAAGAGTCACCTTCCACAAACGGACAGTTGTCGTAGTGGTTGGCGAGAATTTCAGCCACTGTGGTCTTTCCTGTACCGGCAGGGCCGCCGACGATGATGATAGTGCTCATGAAATAAGGTTTTTTTGAAAGGTAGGTAGGGATATCAACGATGTTGAATATTCTGGAGAAGTTGTTGGGGACGGTGGGGGACCTCTGCGGGTTGCCTGCAGTACGCCCAAGCAATTGTAAGATCCCAGGCGTCCACCAACGCCATTCCGACGGAAAAGGGTGGAGAAAATTGGTAAAACTTGGAGGATCACGAGGAAACAGCGACATCCTTCGTATTCCAACTTCGTTTTCTCTTTAAAACCCCCACAGCGCTCAGTAGTCCTTGCGAAAGCCGCCCCGCCTAGGTTTTTCCGATCGCGGGGAGGTGGCTGATCTTGCCCCGCGAAGACCATAGGGACGTTTTGCAGCCATTTTCTTGCCTAGCAACTCGTCTGGCGAAATGCCTCTGTTTTCGGCTGCTTTTCGAAGACACACGAGTTCTTCGCTGATTCGCTTCTCCACCAAAAACTTGATTTCGTGGGCGCTTTCTCTGTCGACGAAAATGGTGGGCCATCTTTGACTCAACCACATGAAGCACAAGACCAACTTATGGTCAATTTCTAGGGCAGAGAGGTAATCGAGGATCTGGTCGGGCGTGGAGGCGACGGATGGACGTTTCAGGAGGACCGAAAGGTGCAAGAAATCAAAATCAAACACCGTCTTGGGCTCGATATCCAGAATGGTCTCAAAGAACTTAATACATGTCTCAATCACCTCTGGACCAACTGCTTGGAAGTTGACTGGAGTAAGCATAAGCTTGACTTGGTCGTCGATGGTCAACTTCATGTGTAAGTCCAGGGGAATCATCAGGTTAAGGATTTCCACCTGGCGCTCAAAGTCCATGTAGAAGTAGTCCTTCAATCTGTACCTGGCCACGTCCTTGGCCAACTTTCCAATAGCTTCAGGCAACAGAATGTTGTGTTTGAACTGAGCAATGTAGTATGACCAGAACTCGCCTGGAGGCCAGATACACGCTCTTTCCAAGTCTTCCACTTCACTTCCCATTTGTTTATGGAGCAAAGCCATGTCTCTTCTTTGTAAGGTTGTGACAAGTCCTTCCAGCTCTCCTTCTGCTGCGCTGTAACGACCAGCTCTTCCTGCAATCTGCTTTGTGGCAGAAACACTCAACGAGGCAACTTCGTAACCGTCAAACTTGCTCATACTGGCAAAGACAATTCGCTTGATGCTCAAGTTAAGTCCCATACCAACAGCATCAGAGGCAACCAAAACATCGTACTTTCCGCTGTTGAAGTTGTTAGCTTCTTTGGATCTGATTTCAGGTGGAAGAGCTCCATAGATAATACCCACCTTCAACTTGGTGGTGTTCTCAATCTCACATTTAAGATCCAAGATCTTTCTCTTGGAAAATGCAATAACACAGTCACCTGTTCTCAAGTTCTGCAACTTCCGAACTGGCTCGTCCTGGACAGTCAACTTACCCAATCTCTTATACTCCCTGATATGGAGTTCATCGCCAGTCTGTTTCACAAGCTCCTTGATCAACTTCACTGCACTGGGTTCACCACAAAGATGCAATTCTTTTGCCTGGACACCCAAAACAGCATTCGTCCACGCAGAACCTCTCAGTGGATCAGCAATCATCTGGATCTCGTCTATAACACAAATATCCATGGTCTTGTTCAATGGAACCATCTCGATAGTTCCAGAAGAAAGCTCAGTAAGGTTATCAAAGGCATCCAAAGAAGGAACAATCTCTTCACCAGTAATCAAGTTACAACTAATACCCTGTTCCTGGAACCTTTCATAGATCTCACGA